TTTCTTTCAATCTTTCATCTGCAGATTTAGTTGTATTGAAGCCCATTGCTTGTGTTTTTGTCATGTTTAGTTTGTAATAAGACTGTTGACTATAAAGCTGCAGCTCTTTATGTAATGAAGGAAGCGTTATAAATGGTTGAGTAATTGTTAGAAGAAGATCATCAGCAAATAAGCTGAGTTTATACTCATTATGACCAACTTGTACACCATGTATGTTCTCATTGTTCCTTATAGATATAGCCAAGGGTTCTAGAGCCAACACATAAAGAAGGGGTGATAGAGGGCATCCCTGTCGTGTCCCGTTAGTGATGCTAAAAGACTCTGACTTAAATCCTGAATAGAGTACTGCTGCTGAAGGTGTACTATACAATGCTTCAACTGCTGAAATGAATCTGGATGGAAATCCATAGGCCAGTAATGTTTCATGCAAAAAATCCCAGTTTAGCCTATCAAATGCCTTTTCGGCGTCTAGAGATAACATAATGCTTTCCTGCTTTGTAATCTGTAATATTTTATATAGATTTAACACCTTCCTAGTGTTATCTTGTCCTTGTCTACCGGTCACAAATCCTACCTGATCCGAATGTATTAATGTTGGTATTATATCCTTGAGTCGTTCTGCCCAGATCTTAGCAAAAAGTTTTGTATCTGTATTTAATATAGATATAGGTCTAAAATGTTGACAACTCGTTGGGGACTTTCCCGGTTTGGGGATAGTGATAACATGGCCAGCCAGGAACTCAGGTGGGAAGGTACCTATCTTTTGAGCGCAATTATAAAAGCTGGTAAGAGCTGGAGCTAATTCTTTCTTAAATAAATTATAATATACATTGGTGAAGCCATCAGGAACTGGAGCTTTTTCTTTTGGCATCCTGTCTATTTGTTGGAGGACTTCTTCTATGGTAATAGGTAAACAAAGCTTCTCTGACTGGTTTACAGCTATTTTTGGGAAAGCAATCTTAGACAGATATGAACGGATAGATATTGGCGTGGGTGTTAACTGAGAATTCTGATTTTTTAAATTATACAGAGTATTATAATAATGTGCAAAAGCAAATTTGATGTCAGTAATTCTAAGGTCAAAGCTTTGACAATTGAGACATTTTGCACATTTCTCCAGTTTGTCCATTACTAATCTTGTTGGTTTTCCTGAAGTCCCACATACATATGAAGCAAGAGTTAAACATAGAAAGGATTATGTAAATTGAGATCAAAATTACTTCAAAGCAGATCTATTACTAGAATATTTTTTGTGCAACCTTATAACTAACAGTTATCTAATCAATAATATACTATGGGTTGAAAAATGTGATTTATATGTCATGATGGTAGATTATATCGATTACAATAACCCATGCAGTGACTTATACACACGAGCCCAACACTACTAAAGCATACAACCTGAAAACAGGGTGAGGCAACAAATTCTTAAAATGAGGCAGAGGTGTCTCTGTCAGAACTGGATGAAGATATCTACAATATAGAAACTCACCACTGGATAGCACGGTCCCCCCTCCCTACAAAAGGTAAGAAGGGAGGGGGGATATTAACTAAATGCCACCCCCACACAATACACACAAACAGCACACACACACAGCACCCTTACACAGCACCCTTACACATACATCACCCTTACACACACAGCACCCTTACATATACACACACACACACACACTAACAGCACCCTTACACACACAGAACCCTCACACATACACACACACACTAACAGCACCCTTACACTAACAGCACCCTTACACACACAGCACCCTTACACTAACAGCACCCTTACACACACAGCACCCTTACACATACACAGCACCCTCACACATACAGCACCCTTACACACACACAGCACCCTCACAACCACAGTACACACTAACAGCACCCTCACACACACAGAACCCTCACAGACACACAGTACACACTAACAGCACTCTCACACACACAGAACCCTTACACATACACACACACACACACACACACACTAATAGCACCCTCACACACACACACAGCAGCCGTGCACACACACACCACCCTCAAATACACACACCGCCCTCATAAACACACACACAGCAACCTCACACACAGCACTCTTACACATACACACACACACACAATAACAGCACCCTCTACACACACACAGTGCCCTCACACACACAGCACCCTTACACACACAGCGCCTACACACACACACAGCGCCTACACACAGCACCCACATACACACACAGCACCTACACACACACACACACACACACACAACAGTGTGTGTGTGTGTGTATGTATATATTTATATATATATATATATATATATATATATATGCATCGTGTGTGTTTGTGCTTTAGGGTGCACACCCTTATGCAATAGGCTGCGCACGCCCATGTATATCAACTTAAGTGGATCCTCAAACCTCAGCCATAAGGCCATAAGAATATAAATGAAACAGGCATATTTCCACTGTAATTGTACCCAATGGAAGGACAAGATCTCTGTATGAGGAGATGTCATTGAGACAGTGGATGTTCATGCAGTATAAAACCAAATAAATGCAAGTAGCAGCTACAAAGCCAAATAACTAATCCAACGCATTTTGTCAATTCAGGACTTCTTTAGGCCCCATACTATACTACACCATAGGTAGTCTGTTTCTATACTCTAGATATATCCATCCAGTTCAGAGACACCTCAGTCTTGTTTTCAAATAGTTGCTTATCCCTGTTTTCAGATGGTATGATTTTTATTGGCACATTGCCATTACCTTAGGTGTCATATATATATATATGCTCCACAAATTTATATTTGTTCACTTTTGTTTGGTGTTTGTTGTGAGATAAGACTTTGGAGTTTTTTTCAGTTTGTAGTGGTATCTTTTTTGCTTTGAATTGCTAATGGTTTCCCTGAAGGCGCACATGGAAGTGCTGTAGAGGTTGGAGGTATGTATGTTTTTTTTAACTTACCTCTATAGCGCTATTCACCTCAGTAAACTCTCCAATAGCATTTTCCTGTTATCCCACACCGAGACTATGTTCTCCCTACTGTCTGACCCGACTTTGATAATGGCGCTACGTCTTGTTGTAGGGGAGAGATGTCTTAAAGGCCGGGCTGAGTAGAGAAACCATGCTACCACTGGTTGTTTGTCAACATATGCTGAAGACAGACAACTTTACTGCACAGAATTAACATTAACCTCTCGTTCTGGGCTGGCTGACAGAAGTGGAGTTACACCTCTGGCAGCAGAATTCTTCAACTCTGTATGTGTAACATTTCTTATCTGTACATATACATTCCAAGCACCATGACTACTGCAAATTATTGAAGTGGTCCTGGTGCTTGGAATAACCTATAAACTAAAGCATCGATAGAGAATTTAAATATGTGAACCATCACAGAGCCTTGAAAAGCAGGAATGTAAGTAATAAATACGGCATTACAGAAGCGTTACTATACAGGTTAACTCCTATCAATGGGAAGGTGGCAGCACTGGCAGGGCACTCCTAACATCATAACAACACAATGTGAAGATTACGGTGCTTGGAATGCTCCTTTAAAGTAAGACTAGATCTATAGACTGTAAGCTCATTTGAGCAGGGCCCTCTTCAACCTATCGTTCCTGTATCGTTCTTGTAATTGTCCTAAATAGGATCCCTCCTCTCATAATATTGTAAAGCGCTACGGAATCTGTTGGTGCTCAAAATGGCGATAATAATAATAACTGATGAATAAAATTCCTGGATAAGGAAATGGAAGTACACTCAATGTGTAGAGGAGTTAGCTACAGAAATGTTGGATTTGAACTTAGTGGCTATATAAAGAGATCTATTACTGGAATGGATAAAGATCATAAAAAAGAAGGTGATTCAGTTGTCATGGGCATGGAATGTAAGAAACAAAAAGGCAAAGGATGTGGTCTAAAAGAAAGGGATATTGGATTAAAAAATTGGAAAGTGGTAGTTAAAGGGACACTATAGGAACCCAGACAACTTCATCTCATTGATATATAGAGGTGTGGGTGCAGTGCCCCATCCCCTTAACCCTGCAAGTGAAAGCACTGCGGTTTCAGACAAAGACAACCTCTAAAGGTGCCTTATAGCTTCACATGGAGTTTAACTCTATGAAACAACTTTGGATGCCCTCACGTCTTCCAGCATTTTCATAATCCCCATAGAAAAGCATTGATTCAAAGCTTTCCTACAGGGTAGCTCTAAGGCAAGCACAGATCTCACCATGCATGTGCATTAGGTCCTCCATCGCCGTGACATAGTTGGAGGAGGAGATGGATCCAGCACCAGCAAACCTTTTTAACCTATTTCATGCTTGGACAGAGGACCTAAAGTTAAGGACAGAGGTATATTATAGCGTTAAGATTACAGGTTTAACACTATAGTGTTCCTTTGAACTATAAAGTGACAAAAAGGTGAATTATATGGGCAAATATTAGATAGTAGATTCAGAAGATGTTAAAGTGGCAAAAATTAGGAGAGATTGTAGAAAAAAGTAGCAATGTAAATGGTCAGTGGTGGGAATGGAAGGGTAGGAAGGATTAATGATATATACAAGTTTTGCTGTTTGTTGTGGGTTTTTTTTCTCTGGATATCATAGCTTTACCTATAAGGAAATGTGGTGAATAAACATAGAATATTTAAAAGGGAAAAAGAAACAGTGAATGTTAAACTTTCATAGTCGAATGAGGTTACCCAGTGGTGGAATGGAAGCAGGTTAAGGGAGGTGGACTTTTAATATGGTCAATGTAATTAAAAACAAGACCCATAAATGAATATAGCTATATTATAGAGGGTGTGAAGAGGCGCTTTTCTTGGAAGGTCAACTTGATATATATAAAAAAATTTAATTGTACATTTTGCATCTGAAGGAGAAATAAACAGGTTGTCCAATAAGACGACAGTTAAGTAATTGCGCTTAGAGATTAAAATAGCGTCACGCGATAGAAAGGCAAACATATATTTATAACGCTTGTACTCAGAACCTACTCATTAAGGTTGCGCAAACACCCACGTTGTCCCCAGAGAGGAAACTTAGAGACAGGCTCTAGATAGACTTTCAAGATCCAAACAGAGAAGAAAGGATAAGCAGGGAAATGTATGGAGAGGTCTTGTAGGTGCTACGGTGAAGAAGGTTCTAGAAAGAAAGAATGAGTTAGTCTGGCTAAAGAAGGAGAAAAAATAGGAGAACAGCTCTGGAGGCATGGGAAGATAACGGTGAGAGGGTAAGGAACGGTATGTGAAGGGGGAGCGAATACAAATAGTCTGCAAGAAATTAACTAATTGCAATCATACGCTGCAGATTTACAGGAAAGACTGACAGCCAGACAGGCGTAAGGAAGCAAGGAAGGGAGGCGGAGGGGGGTAGCACGCAGAGATGTAAAGATAGACATAAAAATATTGACCTATAAAGCAAAATACTGGCACAGGGAGAAGAAAGATAGAAGCTCAAGAAACGGGAAAGGGATCATTTATGCATAATTTACCTAAGAATAGTGAGTCAGACAGTAGAAGAGGTTTTCTGCTTTGGGAATGAAGCTGGAAGCCGTACTGAGTACAGAAAAGTAAGGTGAGTAAAGTCTGAGGGGGGGAGGGGGGAATCTACTAATCAGCATCAGACGTTAACTGATTTAACAGTTAGAGTTTCTAGAAAAAAAAATGTTACTTTTAATAGTTTAATATCAGATGGATTTTGATTTAGCAGAACTCGTAAGTGATATATGCTATTCCAGAGAGAATACTCATTCGGCATTGGGGCATTCTAGCTTATATTTTCCATATAACAGCTCCGTATAACCCCTCCTATAACATCATTCGTAACCTTTCAATGTAACTGTTCATATTGCTTTATACCATCTTTAGTGCTCTCTATGCATTCTCTGTATTTCTCCTCCAGGTAAAGTTTAACAAAATGTTTTGGCTCTTTTATAGCACTAAATGTAAAATATCGCTTTGTATATGAACATAATTATGAAATAAACCACAATATATTTTTTTTAGTTGAAACTTCGTAGATCAAATAACCCTATATACCTCCTGTAGTAGTAGTTTGCTATATACCCATCTATGTCCTTTTAACTCTGCCTTTAAATCTATCTATAAAATGTTCCATGAGACATTGTCATGCTATATCTTTGTTTTATTTCATATTACGTCATCATATAACGTTATTATTGTATTAATATCATCCTTTGGCATGTTGGGAACTCCACTTATTGCACAATCGATAAAACAAATTGTAACACATTCTAGGCTGCACTGATTACCACTAGCAAATCTACTGTTTCACATATGTCATCTGGGCTCTATAGTATAGGCTGTAGCTTTTTTATGCCGTCATTTTTAGTAGTCACGTCCGGTAGATCTTTTCTATGTTAGCTTTGTGTGATTTACATAAAACTACAATGTACAAAGATAACAAAAATTTGGCTGTCCATATCTATGAATGAATGTTGATGCAAAATGCGTGGTGGCTTCTGCATCCAGTGCCAGGACACTTCTATTTTAATTGTTGGGGGGCGGGGGGAATAGAGGGTCTGTGTCTTGCTGCATTGTAATTCAAATAAAAGAATGTCTCCTGTAAAATAAATGAATAAGCAAACAAACAAATAATTAAACAAGTAACAGGTGCTTGTTCTATCAATTGCTGTGTTTTGTTCTAAACAATAGGAAATAAAAGTTACTAAAGCACTTGTTTCAATATTGATTAAAAAAATCTGAAGATCATTTTATTGAGACTTAATCTTAAAAAACGTGTGTTGATTAAAGAGACATTCCAGGAAAATGACCACCATGTTCAATGCGCTATATACATAGATATAGCAGTAGTTAAATATAAAATAAATAAATTCAATAAATCAAATGATACCTTTATTCATGTTGATTCAGTAATGCCCAAAGGTTTTTTTTTTGTGTTAGAGCAATGTTAGGTTAACAATGATATTCACTAACTGGTGTAACTTTGCTGCAAAGCCAGTTAGTAAAGGGCTTCGGCAAGAGTGCAAGCTCTCCATAAGAAACCATATACACTGCAATTGCACTTAGCATTCACTAAATGGCATTGCAGTTTTATGGGCTACAAAAAAGCAATTTTACTGGTGTCCCTATCTAACCCTTTACACTCATAATAGTGAAAAGGTCCCTAATCTAATCTTCTTTATTCAGCTCAAATAAAATGTCAAATAAAAACGTACAGTTTGTAAAATCCACTGAAAAAAGACCTGTGATACTTAAAAAAGTTCATCTTTGTTACCCTATAGAGGGCTCCACATGGGCCGAGCATCCGAGGGAAGGAGAAACCTATATAAATGCTTTGCCACACGTACAATGCTCAGTATAGAGCACTATGATTGGCTGGCTTGGAATCTTTGTAAGAAGAGGTGTCCCTTTTAAAGCACCTTTGAAACATAAATCATAAAAATACAACAATGCATTAAGTAAAGTTTATGAATACCTTTTTACAATATTAATTAACTCAAATGCTAAATAATTGCGTATTAACAAGGAGTGACATAGAGACAACTAAAAATTGAGGTAAAACATGCCTGAGCGACACTGGTGGGTGGAGGAGTTATAGTATGTGCAGAAGATACACGAATACATATTCAATGACAAGAAGGAAACATATACAAAGGAAACATATACAAAACTTAAACAAGGGAAAATTCACAATAAGCATTGTAAAAAGAAATAATGTTGGACTCTTGAAATATCAGTGAGGGGGAATCGTCTGGTTCTGGAAGGATTAAACCAATGTTGCAAAGCAGACCCCAATGAAGGTATCATGTTACTTTGGAATGTTTACTGTGGAACAAATATTGAAATATTTAGAATGCCTTTGAAGTAGCTTTGGCTTAAAGAAAAGGTTGGTGAAATATTATCTGAGCATTTTGAGTCTCCATAATGCTGGCATGACTGAAGGTTTAAAGCCATATCTCACAGCCTCTTTTACATTTTCCGTACGACTTAATAACCTCCACCAATAGTTACACTCTATGCTTTACATATCTCTGTATCAATTCCCCTCTTGTTGCCTAAACTCCATATTCCTTAAAAAGTCAATTTGTGCTCTTACATCTCATGCATAAATACTCCTATGATTCCAGATTCTTCTTGTAACTCTTCTTTTATTCCATATAACCCTCATTCTGTCTCTGCCAAGAATTTCTTCTGCTGCTCTATCTAAAAATATTCTGATATAGATGCAATTATAGTCTTGTTATAACTCAACCTCATTTCTCCTAAAACATTTCTTTTCGTATTGTTAAATCTCATAAAATGTGCGTATTGCCAAATTTAACATGATCAGTGCGAACTATCTGGTTCCCAGTTTGCCTTATATAGTCTTTATGAGGTGGCTGGATTTATTGTGCAAGAACGCAGAACCCATATACTCGATTTGCTGTTGTCTCTTGTTTTCCTTAGGTGTTTGCCCAATGTTCCAGGACATAAATACCCCAACTCCTGCCCCCTGCTCTCCCAGTCATGACCCAGGTGATCTCACAGGTAATCAATTTCTACCATCATCACATTCTACACTATACTTTGAGCTTTGTGTTAGCTTGTTATATTTTCAAGGACTAACTATGACTGTTTCTATAATGGCCTGCTCATTAGTGCAAACATTTTTTCATTTTACTTTGCATTGTATTTTAAATTATTATTTTAAAGGAACACTAAAGTGTTAAAAATTCAAATAGTATTCCTAACACTATAGTGCCGCTGTCCTTATTTGTAAACAGCATTCAGTCACGCCTGCTGTTTGCCATCAAAATATTTTTAAAAAGCTTGTTAGTTCGTATCATTGAAGAGGTGTCATTTCCTTCAATCAGTGGTCCAACCCAATGCATCTCTTAGAGGAGAATTGAGGACATGATGCGCATGCGCAGCAAGTGCTGCATGTGCATCCAATTCTTTCCTATGAGCTGCAACTTCACTTAAGTTTTACTTGGTAAGTGTAGTTTAAGCAAGTCTTGTAGCTGTTAGTATGGCACCTACTAGAGGTGTGCACAACGGCAATGTTTTGCCTTGAAGGATTAAACATGTATGTAAAGTTCACATGGGATTTTTCTTTTGGGGCACACTTTAATTTACTGTGCTGCACGTACCTACCTGTATATAGCTGTATGTGTGTGTCTGGAAATATGGACTGTTTGGTGTGCACCTGGGAGGACTGATACAGGGCTTCCATGCACGAAAGGAAACCTAGACAGTGACTCCTGGGCAAGTTGACTTTATAACCCTGCTATACATGCTAGAGAAGTTTGTAGTTAAGATGGGAAAAAAACATTTATAAGGCAACTATAACTTGGATGGCCCACTCGGCTGCGCTCCATGGATGCATGCAGTAAAGGAATTAGGAGAGCACACTCAGAGCAAACTCGGGGCTCCTTGACCCAGACCACAAATGTGTAGACCAGAAAGTGAGCAGTAAGGAGGGGCTGGCTTTCCTGAGTAAGATCAGATCTGATCAGACCTGAGACAGTTCTGCTGACATCCTCTGTGCATAGTCTAATTGCCTGTATGCCGGGAGCCATGACTTGTATTCGGAAACCTGGCTGGCAAGAGACTTTGATAACTGTTGCAGTTTTTGCTGGGAGAGGAACCTAAATTGCGGCACTGTCCCCGCAAAAACAGGGCAGCTGGCAGAAATGCTTAAAATTATGGTGTTATTAGAAATAAATATGATTTTTTTTATAAAATTGGCATACAAAATAGTTGTATGAGAGATAAAATGCTAGCTGCAAAAGATACTGCTCTCAAAAAAATAGTCTGAGAAAAAAGGGGAGGAGGGCTCTACCCAAAGACTCCTTGCACCGTTAGAACTACCATAAAATGTAGCAGTTATGGAGTTAAGAGTCCCAGTTTAATGTGTAGCAATGTACTTGCAAAAGAGAAGTGTTTTGGGCAAACGCTACACATATACCAAGATATATAGACATGAATAGATCCAGATAACACTACATTATAAAACCACTAACAGGGAGATTCACTAAACAGTGGACAAAAGAATTCTGGCCAAAATGATGCGAGCAGCCAGTGGGCAAATAGTAAAAAAAAAAAAAATGTTAAAAAAAATTCCTCTGCAGTGCAGGATTAATTGTGGGACTGCTAGCCAATGTTTAAAAAAGAGAATAAAATGAAATAAAAAAGTCCTATGGGGGCCAATATGGCCATCATATTAGTATAAACTGCTAACTGCTCACCTCTCCAATACTAATATGGAGATCTTATTAACCCCATAGAGTTTGTTTTTTCTGTTTGTTTTTTTACTTTTTAATGTGGCGGATGGTTAGCAAGCACGGCTACTGTCACAGAGCATAACCATTGCACTGCCAATGTTTGTTTACGCTATTTGTTTGCTTGCTACTTGCACTGCCATCAGGCAACTTCCTGATATTTAGCATCTGTTCCTGGATTTTAATAATCCGGTTCTGGATTTCAGCCACCCAGTAGCTTTCAGTCTGGCTGAGATCCCGACCATTCTGAGCCTTAAGAATAATAACTAATTCCAAAAAAAAAACCCTGCTAAAAGAGGAAAAATTATAACGAGTAAAGTCAATAAAAAGTGATAAGGGACATTTATTCAAAATTGGACAAAAACTTTATTGAAATCAGTAGAATTCATGGACTCAAATAAGCAGTAAAAAAATAATAATAAACACATCACCTAACAAAAGAAAATACATACATATGGAGTCTCCTAATTAGATCTCAGTCTGTGGAGTGAATATAGGGAAACATATGTTTATAGTCACATAAAGGTAAATGACCCGGCAATATAAACCACAGTTGATCCTTACAAAAATAACAAAGCAGACTGTTAAAAAAAAAAGATGTAGATACTCACTGGGAGTCAAATATTGGTCTGTCCTGATATAATGATACTATAATGATACTTGAGGTATGTATCAATCGAGTCTCTGTAAAACTAACAGTAGTAGTGATTAGATATAGGAGATTTGTGGAAAAGGGTAAAACAAAACTAAATAAACCCCACAACTAACTAATGAAAAAATAAAAAAAATTTTGTAAAGGATAACTGATGCCTAATGCTAAATTATATATAGTCTCCTAATACCACAGGTTTGATCTCCGATATGAGGATGTGTCTGAGAGTGCTACCTCAACGTAACCACTTATTTATCTTGTATTGCTCAAGGCTCTCCTCTCATTACATTTTCTCTCCAAGAACACAAACCAATATCACTCTTTTAATGACCTTCTCTTGTCTCTCTATACTCCCACATTGTTAATTCTCGTCTACAGTACTTTTTTTTATCTTTTAGTTTAATGTTTCCATTTTAAAATTGCATAAAGCTATGTTTGTGCTAAATAAATACTAATAAACATATGTGGTGCAGATTCTTGAAATAATTTCAGTGGAGCATCATGTCAGAAAACATGCCCTAAATGGATTCACTAATGACCTGACACATATACCATCCTCCCCAAAATACACATTTTAATAGGACATATAGTTTGCATGATTCACTGCCATTATTCCAAGAATTGGCACCACATATGTTTATTATCTTTATACAATTTAAAAATGGAAATATAAAACACAAATAGAAAAAAGTACTTTAGATAAGAATTAACAATGTGGGCGACTGGGCGTGTAGAGAGACAAGAGAAGATAATTAAAAGGGTGATATTGTCTTGGAGTGTTCTTGGAGAGAAAATGTTATGAGGGGTTGGCTTGTTGATGGATTAGTAGCTCACAGTCAGTATTTCAGATTGGATCCTGAAGGGTACGAGAAGCCAAAGAAAAGATTGGCATAAGATTGACTTATGAGAATTGGTGGATATAGAAGATAAGCCTGGGAGCAGCATTAATTCCAGACTAAAGTGTAGAATATGGGCTTTAGTGAGAATGATAAGGAGTGTGTTACAGTATTGAGGAATAAAATGATAAGTATTAGTTGCATCTCTGTTAGAAAGGGGAATATACAAACAATATTTTTAAATTTGGTAAATTGCAGGATTTCGAGACAGAGTGGAGGTGTGAAGGATAAGTAAGATTGTGGGGTAAGTTAGTGAGTGTTCCATGCATTAGAACGGAGAGTAGCAATGGACAGTTGGTTTTCAGTTCAAAGAAAAGATTAGTCGCTTATTTTTAGAAAGACTGTTTCAAGAACTGGTTAGTCATCTACTTAGAGAATAGGAAGGTAGTGTAACCAAACGATGAGATGCTAAAGGAGCCTTGGAAAACATAAGAAGAGAGCCTAGAGAGGACAGTACTATGAGAACCATGCTTGTGAAAGATATGAAGAATGAACATGTGGTCAACACTGTCGAAAGCAGCAAGAGGAATGTTTAGAGTGTAATGACTTTTGCATTTGGATGTGATTACACCAGTGGTAATTTTGGTTAGGACAATATCATTAGAAATTGGATTTGAGAGCATCATAGAGAGAGTTGGAATTGAGAAGTTAGTCAGACTAACATTAAAAAGCTGTTCAAGCTTTGAGACAAAATGAAATACAGAAATAGGACTTCATTTAGACGTTGAGTTGAGAGAGTTTTGTTTTTAGAATAGTAAAATAATTGTGTTTTTTTCATTGTGTGTTTGACTGAAAATACCAAATGGGGGACAATAAAGATTTGAATTAAGGATGGAAGATAACTCGGGCAAACAGATTGTATAACACTCCTTCAAAAAATCGATAAAAACCCACTTCTTCATAAAAGCGTATCAATTAAACTGTTAATAGCTCCTGACTGATTCCTTCTCTGCAACTGTCACTAATCTAATACTATCCTTACCTTTTTGTGTCATTTTACCCCACTCCCTCTAGCATGTAAGCTCATTGAGCAGGGCCCTCAACCCCTCTGTTCCTGTGTGTCCAACTTGTCTGGTTACAACTACATGTCTGTTCGTCCACCCATTGTAAAGCGCTGCGGAATTTGATGGCGCTCTATAAATATCATAATAATATAAGGTAAGAGGGCATGAAATCAATGTTATCATCTTTATAAACTGTATTTATACAGTAATAAATAAATAAATCTCATCCAGGATGTAAAGGTATACAATCACTGGCAGTGCTAATGTTGAGCTCTATTGCTTTATTTAAGACAGTTAGTTTTCCTAGGTGACAGTTGTTTTTATTTTTAAAAAGCATTTTTATACTGTATTCTTATGTATCTTTCCCAGACACCCTTATATCTACACAGGATGAAGAATTGGAACAACCAGAAATCCTACCTTCAAACAATGAATCACCACAACAAACAGTTGCCACAGAGAGCCCTATAAGAACATGTAAGTGTGTAGTATTGTCCATGATAACCCTATAACTATTACATCATTGTTTGCATTCTTGAAAATCACCCAGGTTTAAACAGGTTAAAGCAGTGGTAGTCAACCTTTTTCTACCTACCGCCCACTAATGCATCTTTCTTGATGGAAAAATTTCAACAAATGAAGGTCTCCTCTTTTGGTGATATTCAGACGATTTCTCTGTTTGCTCATATATGATTTCTAATCTGTGCATCAGCTCCCCTCCTTGCCCTCCTCAATTCCCCTCCCCACCTTTTTTCTATTTTTTAACCTTCCTTATAGCAATGCCCTGTAGGAAGGCTGAGCTTACTATTACTATTACTATTACTATTATTAGCCAACAACAATTCTCTCCTTTTCCTTCTTTCTCCTTTTTACAAGTACTCTGATCCTTCTTTCTCCTTTTTACAAGTACTCTGCTCCTTCTTTCTTCTATTCTACAAGTACTCTGCTCACAGACAAACACATACACACACTCACACATACACTTACAGACACACACACTCACAGACAGACACACTCACACATACACTTACAGACACACACACACACACACTCACAGAGAAACACATATACAAAGACAAACACACACACTCACACATACACTTACAGACACACACACTCACAGAGAAACACATACACACAGACAAACATACACACACTCACACATACATTTACAGACACACACACATACACACTCACACATACACTTACAGCCACACAAATTATTAATATTAAATGTCCACCCAGCCTCCCTACCTGGAGAGCTGGTGTGGATCTGTCCCTGGGGTCCAGTGAGGCTTCACTTCGGCGGGCGGCAGAGTTCTAGTCCGAGGCGGCGAGGGAGCTCTAACCTCTCTGCTCCCTCGCGTGCTGTCTACTGATGCCAGTAGCCGGAATATGACGTCATATTCTGGCTTCCATGGCATCAGCAAACATCGCGCAAGGGAGCAGAGCAGAGAGGTTAGAGCTCCCTCGCCGCCTCGGATTAGAACTCTGCCTCACTGGGGGGTCCAGAAGGTGGCCTGGCAGGAGGGAGTGCTTCCCTCCTGCCGGTCACTGAAATCTTGCGCCCCAAGCCGCTCGTGCCCGCCCGCCCACTCTAAAAAGGAGAAATCCTCTCAAAAAGACCTACCGCCCACCTGGAATCCTGAAACGCCCACTTGTGGGCGGTAGGGACCAGGTTGACGACCCATGGGTTAAAGCAAACAGGAAACTGTTGTTGGAATTCATGAGGAGCAAGGTAGAGAACAAAAGTCAAAGCCTGATCAATAAAATGCTTTGTCTGTCACGATTAGTTGTGCACTTCTCTTTACCTTTTATTGATGGCTGGACACGATGCTAAGAGACCCTTAAACATGTTTAGTATGCTTTAACAAGATTTCTGATTTTATATATTGATTTTGCATTGTGCTATCAAGTCCTAAAATATAGTCCTGTCTTTTAGAGCTGTCAATAGGTAAAAGCGTTAGGAAGAGAAGTCAGGTCAAATACATGTGTGTGTATATAGGTATGTAGCACTGAGCAGGGCATAACCTCTCACTGAGTCTGAAGTGGGGAACATGGTGTTAGGCAGAACACTACAAGACAGGGGGGCAAAATTAAGTCCCGGCACAATAGCTGCCATTGGGTATATGATAATTCACAACTAGTGTAGTTAAAGGACCACTCTAGGCACCCAGACCACTTCAGCTTAATGAAGTGGTCTGGGTGCCAGGTCCCTATAGGATTAACCCTTTTTTTAATAAACATAGCAGTTTCAGAGAAACTGCTATGTTTATAAATGGGTTAATCCAGCCTCTAAAGCCTCTAGTGGCTGTCTCATTGACAGCCGCTAGAGGCGTTTGCGTGCTTCTCACTGTGAAAATCACAGTCCATGATGAATGCTTTCCTATGAGACTGGCTGAATGCGCGCGCAGCTCCTGCCTCGCATGCGCATTCAGCCGAAGGGGAGAAGAGGAGGCGGAGAGGAGGAGGAGAGCTCCCCGCCCGGCGCTGGAAAAAAGGTAAGTTTTAACCCTTTCCTCGCCATCCAGCCCGGCGGGATTGGGTCCCTGAGGGTGGGGGCACCCTCAGGGCACTATCGTGCCAGGAAACCGAGTATGTTTTCCTGGCACTATAGTGGTCATTTAATACGTTTTACTAGGGAAAATCCCTTCTGAACTCAGAAGTGGGACTTGGCAGCATCCGTAGACAGGTTGGATCCTTCTGAGTCCTATTTAAAATAAGTAGAAATGTCCCAAGAACAACACTGTCATTTAAAATGTTAATAACCTGTGTAGTATATTGCACTTATGACTAAATTGTTAGTGTGCATGTTTATGAAGTTATTTTCCCATGAGGCTCAGACAGGGATCAGAATGAATGTAAGAATAATTTGCAAAAAAAAAACATTTAAAATATATCCCAGGGAAATAGGGCAGGAAACAACTCCTTGCTAGTATATGTTTATTGGGAAAATAATCAAACATGGCTAAAGTATAGAGGCCACGTTATAGTAAATGGACACGTAATACAAAAAGGGGGGCTGGCGACAAAAACATAAAGAAAATCTATGTAAATATTGGGCAAGTTTTACCTCTTTTCAAAGATGCTTTTTTATTTTATTGTATTTATAAACTATATTTCTAATAGATCTCATCCAGGAAGTAGAGGTATACAATCACTGGCAGTGCTAATGTTGAGCTCTTTTGCTTTATTTAAGATAATTAGTATTGCTGGGTGAAAGATCCAACTTAATAAAAGTTAGTTTAGCATTAAGGCTCGTTTTACTTATAAAAAAGCATTTTATACTGTATTCTTATGTATCTTTCCCAGACACTCTTATATCTACACAGGATGAAGCATTGGAGCAACCAAAAATCCTACCTTCAAACAATGAGTCACCACCACAGACAGTGGTCACAGAGAGCCCTAAAAGAACATGTAAGTGTGTAGCATCGTCCATGATAAACCTATAAATATTACACCATTCAGGGCCAGCCTTAAGGGTGTGCGAGCTGTGCGGCTGCGACCAACACAACCAGGTCCTGCCCTACCTCAGAGTGCCCTGGTGGGTGAAAGATTGCGCCCCCGTTGGCTCGCCTTTAGAGAGTGAGCTCTGCTTTGTTATTGGCCAGTGAAGAGATTGAGGACCTCCCTCACCGGCCCACTTTGCATGATGGGGAGGAGCGAGCAGTGAGCGCTTTGGTTCTGCACCTTCACAGGATGCCGTTACTGAGCCCTCCTACTGAGCTTGGCATTTAGAGTGTTGCCACAGGTTATCATGGTAACGCTCTCATACCATCAATGTGGAGTTCGCAAGAGGAGGGCTCCTGTTCTGCAAGGTGCAGAATTTCAAACCCTGGCAGAGACCGCTGGACCACCAGGTCATCAGTATTCCCCCATCCCTGTCCAACGGTATGCAAGAGGGAGGGGAGCAGAAGGGGGGAATCAATATGAATTAATTTAAGAAAACAAAACATGAAATTGCTCTTCTACCTCCTCATTTAAAGCCTTATGTCACCCCCAGTGGTGTATTTTGGATTTGTGCTGCCCTAGGCCCGACTAAATTCGGGCACCCCAAAATAAAAATTTGCTCCCCCAATTCGTGTCAAGGCCATTTTTTGACTGACAGACACATGCCCTCATTGATACATGCACTGATATACACTCGATGAAAGATACACAGTCATTGGCACACACATACAGTCATTGGCACACACTGTTTAACCAACACACCCATTCTCACTCACAGACACACACTGACAGCTACACTCACTCACTCACTCACAGTAAGGTGGACAGCCCCAGAACACGTGGCAAACAAGGCATTTCTCTGGGAGCTTGGGGTGGCATTTTTTGGCGCCTCCCCTTAAAGTGCCGCCCTAGGCAAATACCTTGTTTGCATTGTGGTAAATACATCCCTGGTCACCCCCTCCTACTCACTAAACATCACTATCCCACCATTACTGTCAGGGCCAGCCTTAGGGGTGTGCAAGCTGTGTGACCACACAGGGCGCCATGGAGCAGGGGGCGCCATGTGGCCGACACAGCTTGCACATGGCCGGGTGACAAGAGTGCAGGGGAGCAAAAAACAAAACAAAAAATTGTGTCAGCGGGGGTGGGGCTTACCAAGCAGCAGGGGCAGGGCTTAACGCAAGGCCCCTGTAACTGCTGCACAGGAAGAGGGAAGAAGGAAGGAGTCCCTGCTTCCCCAACAATGAACTGCATTCACTCCCCCTTCCAGCCATACTGCCTGCCTGTGTGTGTGTCTGTCTGTATGACTGCCTGCCTATGTGTGTATGTGTGACTGTCTGTCTGACTGTCTTTGTGTGAGACTGCCTGTGTGTGTGTGTGACTGTCTGTCTGTGTGACTGCCTGCCTGCCTGTGTGTGTGTGACTGTCTGCCTGTGTGTGTGTGTGACTGTCTGTCTGTGTGACTGCCTCCCTGTGTGTGTGTGTGTGACTGCCTGCCTGTGTGTGTGTGACTGTCTGTCTGCTTGTCTGCCTGTCTGTGTGACTGCCTGCCTGTGTGAGACTGTCTGTCTGTCTGCCTGTGTGTGACGGTTTGCCTCTGTGTGTGTGTGACTGTCTGCCTGCCTGTGTGTGTGTGACTTTCTGCCTGTGTGTGTGACACTATTGTTCCCTACATGCGCAACATAATGGCATGGCGACTTCAGGGAAACAAGAGCTTTTTCAACACTCTTGTGTTAGAAATACATTTGTATTCCTAATGCTAGAGTGTTCCTTCACATGTTTTTCCCAAATCTATACATTTAGGAGGAATTCTTCTAGCCCATATATATATAGAATTCTCTGCTTTTTAAAAAGACACAATTTAACACGATTACTGATAGTAATATTTCTATATACATGTATATTAATATGTTTATTATTATTATGATATGTGTTATTATGCCTATAATGTATTAATATATGTGTATATGCATAATATGCCCAGAAATCCCATTAATACATAACATCTATGGAATAGAGGCTTAGCACTTTTTACAGGATGGACGAGGCAGTGTGGCCATGGGGGGGCGCTGTGAAGATTTTTCTCACAGGGCGCCTCAAGGCCTAAGACACCATTATTTGCATTCTTGAATATCACCCAGGTTTAAACATATACATATATAAAAAGTTAAAGGAAGCAGAAAACTGTTGTTGGAATTTATGTGGACCAAGGTAGTGAACAAAAGTCAAAGCCTGGTCAATAAATATGTTATTGTGACGGACCGCTTGGCACCCCGACCAGGTACCTCTGTCAATCGCTGCTTCCTATTACTTGTGAGCACCATAAGCACTGTATTGCAACACCATAACCACCGTAGACTCCCACAAACTGCCGCAGCTTGGTTGGGGATCTCGCCGTCCTCCACCCACCCTGGACACAAGACCAGGATCCAGCTTCCAGTGGGTAGACCTCTCCTAGTCAAAAAAAGCGTAGCAGGAACAGCTCTTATAAGAGCTAGTGATTATACTCAGGGGAGTACTGTGATATAGCAATACCCAGAGTGAATGTAGTTCTCCAATCCCCCAAACATGAGCTAAGACTTCATGAAGGGGTAAACGAATCTCTGTTTAATGGGAGCCACACTTGGCCTTATATGACAATCCCCATTCAAGGGGTACGCCGACAGGGACCTTGTGGGTGACTGATTTGCAACTTCACAGACCAATAACAATAAGGTTACAAGGTACGACACTCCCACACACAGCACACAATCCCTCCCTTCTGCCTGGGAGATAATTGGATCAGTAGCTGTACTAATTCTAATCCAATTATCTCCAAGCACAGAAAAAAATATACTTTTTAAAAACACCCCAAATGTACCCTAAAAATTCATAAAACCCCACAAATGTTACATCCACTGATAGCCTTCATCTGGGTGACCAACATATCCAAAAATCACACAGATCAGTTCAAGGGTTCAGGAATTTCCTGGAAGTAATTTATATGACCGACCGCAGGCATGGTCCCATAGCCGAAAATAGTTCCATAGAATGGCAGCTAAGTGCCGCTGGAGGACCGACTGGTAACCGCGAAGTTTTCATGCTGAAAATAGTTCCAGGGCATTCACGGCTAAGTCCCCCTGAAGTCTATTCACGGTTTTGGTACATGCAAACAAGATGGCTGCCACCTTCTACAATTAAACGCAGCAAGCGCCCCCAATTACCCTGGCACACCAAGCTGACCCGTTACCTCCAAAAATGTTCCAGAACTGCTGAAGGCTTATTTAGATGTTGTTTGGCAAACTCTAATCTGGCCTTCCTGTTTTTGAGGCTCACCAATGGTTTACATCTTGTGGTGAACCCTCTGTATTCACTCAGGTGAAGTCTTCTCTTGATTGTTGACTTTGACACACATACACCTACCTCCTGGAGAGTGTTCTTGATCTGGCCAACTGTTGTGAAGGGTTTTCTTCACCAGGGAAAGAATTCTTCATCCACCACAGTTGTTTTCCGTGGTCTTCCGGGTCTTTTACTGTTGCTGAGCTCACCGGTGCGTTCTTTATTTTTAAGGATGTACCAAACAGTTGGTTTGGCCACACCTAATGTTTTTGCTATCTCTCTGATGGGTTTGTTTTGTTTTTTTCAGCCTAATGATGTCTTGCTTCACTGATAGTGACAGCTCTTTGGATCTCATATTGAGAGTTGACAGCAACAGATTCCAAATGTTAATAGCACACTTGAAATGAACTCTGGACCTTTTATCTGCTCCTTGTAAATGGGATAATGAGGGAATAACACACACCTGGCCATGGAACAGCTGAGCAGCCAATTGTCCCATTACGTTTGGTCCCTTGAAAAGTGGGAGGCACATATACAAACTGTTGTAATTCCTAAGCCGTTCACCTGATTTGGATGTAAATACCTTCAAATTAAAGCTGAAAGTCTGCAGTTAAAGCACATCTTGTTCATTTCATATCCATTGTGGTGGTGTATAGAGCCAAAAAGATTAGAATTGTGTTGATGTCCCAATATTTATGGACCTGACTGTATGTAAGAGACATTTCCAAAATATAGAATATTTTACAAAGTCTCACTTTGCATCTGACTTCCTCCACTATAAATTTTTGCTGCGCTCCTACAGCCTGACTCTTTCAACTGCAAAGGTAAATTACTTTAACACCCTCATAAGGACACTGTCCCATCAACCCAAACACCTATTTCACATTGTTGATGCTCTTCTTCACCCTTCTACTCCCCCTCCTTCTACCACAGCAGAAGAGGTTTCTGTTCTGCTCCGGTACTCCCGCCCCACCACCTGTTCCCTGGATCCTATTCCCTCGTATCTCATCCGCACTTTGTCTCCCTCTCTTGCTCTTCCTCTCACTAAAATTTTCAATCTCTCCCTTTCCTCTGGCACATTTCCCTCACCCTTGAAACATGCAACTGTAACCCTGATTCTGAAAAAGCCCAACCTTGACCTCAACTCCCCATCCAACTATCGCGCTATCTCGCTACTGCCATTTGCCTCCAAGATCCTCGAGAGAGTTGTGTACACCAGATTGACTGACTTTCTTGAATCCAACTCTCTACTTGACCCCCTTCAGTCTGGATTCTGCGCTGGTCATTCTGTAGAAACGTCTGTGACCAAAGTATCCAATGATTTAATTGCTGCTAAATCTCGCAGCCATTACTCTATCCTAATTCTCCTTGATCTTTCTGCTGCCTTTGACACTGTTGATCATCAACAGCTTCTTCACATTCTCCATTCTACGGGATACTGCTTTCTCCTGGTGCTCCTCCTACCTCTCCAAGCACTCTTTCAGTGTTTCTTTCTCTGCCTCTTCCCCCCCAACCACACTCTGTCAACGTCCCCCAAGATTCTGTCCTTGGTCCCCTACTGTTCTCTATCTATACTGCCTCCCTTGGTAAACTCATCAGCTCCCTTGTCTTCCATTATAATTTCTATGCGGATGACACACAAATCTATCTGTCATTTCCTGATCTCTCTCTGCCAATCTTGACTCGTGTCTCTGACTGCCTCTCTGCGATTTCCAACTGGATGGCTGTTCACTTCCTTAAACTCAACCTGCCCAAAACAGAACTTCTGGTCTTTCCTCCCTCAAGTGTTGCTACTCCCGTGTCTGTCTCCCTCCAAGTAAACAACGCTACCATCACCTCTACCTCGCAGGCTCGCTGCCTGGGTGGGTTTTTTTACTCCAACCTCTCCTTCACCCCTCATGTCCAATCAATCACCAAATCCTGTCGCTTCCATCTCAAAAACATAGCGCGCACCCGCCCCTATTTAACACCTAATGCAGCTAAGGTGCTGGTCCATGCTGTTGTTCTCTCTTGCCTTGACTACTGCAATCCCCTTCTCAGTGGTCTTACATGTTCCCAGATTGAACGGCTGGAATCTATAATGAATGCGGCGGCGAGGCTCATTTTCCTGTCCGCTCGCACCTCCCACCTGCTCTGTCAGTCCCTGCATTGGCTTCCGGTTAGATATAGGGCTAAATTTAAAATTCTGGTGCTTGCTTACAAGTCCCTACATAATGCTGCTCCAACCTACCTATCCCACCTAATACACAAGTATGTCCCGTCGAGGCCCCTGAGCTCTGCCAAAGACCTACGTCTATCCTCTGTCCGTACTCCCATGTCTGATGCTTGCCTCCAAGATTTCTCCAGGGCTGCACCTCATCTGTGGAACTCCCTTCCATTCTCCATAAGACTTTCACCCAGTCTCCACTCATTCAAAAAATCATTGAAAACACACTTCTTCAAGAAAGCATATCAATTAAACTGTTAACAGGTTTTTATCCCCCACTCCCCATGACTCTTCTCCTGCAACTGTCAAAAATTACCTACTAAGCCCTCAGTGAATAATTTTCTAACAACCTACTTCGTACCCCTACTTTTACCCATTGTGTCACTATAGCCCACTCCCTCTAGAATGTAAGCTCATTGAGCAGGGTCCTCCACCCCCTCTTTTCCTGTACGTCCAGTTGTCTGGTTACAATTACATGTCTGTTAGTCCACCCATTGCACAGCGCTATGGAATCTGATGGCACTATATGAATAATAAAATAATAATAGTATCTTCTCAATGTCCATTTTATATAAAATCTTCATCTGTATCTAATTTCCTGATAATTTCAATTCCGCAGCGATATTTCCGGGTACCTGACGTCGCCATGAGTGTAGTTGGAACGCAGCGTTGACGGCTGGAACGCAATGTAGATGGGAAGTGGTAACTACACAAAGGAAGGCAAAGTTACCACCTCCCATCTATGTTGCATTCCAGCTGTCAACGCTGCATTCCAACCAGTGCTGTGGAATCGGTAGATATATGTTCCGACTCCGACTCCTCAGCTTTTTGTACTTCCGACTCCGACTCCGTCTTTCCGACTCCTCTGTATTAATATGCAAATGTATTTTATACATTCCTTGAAGGAAAGAAAGGCAACATACATGTCATTACCACAGGACTACTGGTTGGGAAGCTAACAGTCTACCGTATTGAACAGTTTAAGCAAAAGACAAACACAATGAAAACAACAAAGTTTTATAAAAATGTTTTTATTAATCAATTAAGTGGCTGGATAGTAGCAGCAGGCATAAACATCAGGAACAGGAACTTTACCAGTTCAAAAATACAAACCACGTTATTTGGTTGTTTTAGAACAAAAACAAAGCTTATCTATATGAACCAAAAACAAAATCTGTAAAACCTAGAAATGGTTTATATTAATCTTGAAATATAGTTATAGGCTTAGCAAATGCAAATCAATTCAATGTAGAGTTCTAAGGAAGAGAATTGCCTCTGCCAGATCCTCTTTCATAGAGGCTCATAAGTCAGACTTTTTAATTTTTAGGGCTGAAAATAATCTTTCGACACTGACTTGGGTGGGTGGCATTGCAGTAACTATTCTGGCTACATCACTAACAATCTCTGGATAAACAAGGATGGCTTCTTCAACAGTAAGTTTTGATGAGCGATCATACTTTTCAACTTCTTTTAGTGCTTCATAAAACTCCTGTTGGAATTTTTTTATTTGGACATTTACTGGTTCTGTAACGCTTATGCGACTTATGCTTTCTTTTAGAACCTTCCATTTTGTCTAAGAAGGAATCAAAATCTAATTCTTCGTTTGAAGAAGATGATCCTGATTTACCACTATTGCTTAAAAGAACTTCATCCAGTGGAGGTATTTCAGGTCGTAATCCCTTGATGCGAACTGCTACATCATAGAGGGCCTTTTTCCCAGTAGCAGTCTGTTCACTGTTCAACAAAAGTCGGCTCATTGGGTCAACATAAATAGCCGCTAACAAGATTTCATTTTCCAGCAAAAGACTCTCTCTTTTCATCATTGAAGATGCAATGCCCTCAGCTAATAACCCCCCATTTTTGTTCAGGCGATATAACAGGCTCTTCCATTCCAAGAGGAATTTACCCGGGGTTAGATTGTCACATTGCAAACTCTTGGTGACAGTGAAGGGGTGAGAAAGAAGGTTCTCCAGCTCTCTTGTTTGTGTCCACTGGCTTTCAGTTAATGCAAGATTTTCATTGTCCATTTCTTCTATGAAGTCTTTAAGTTCGAGCAAACGCTTCACCATTAAATAAGTGCTTCCCCAGCGAGTTGTTTGATCCAAAATGGCTCCTTTTCCTGCAAGTCTTTTCAAAATTGCATCTGTTTTCGGGGCCCTGGCTGCAACAGTTACTTGCCGTAATTTGCCAATTAGTGTAGCTGCATGGCGATCTTTTAATCCATCTCTTATGGCAAGTTGAGTATGAACAGCACATCGCATATGATGAATAGTAGCAAACTTCAATGCTTCTTCAACAAAGTAGTCTAAAAAAATGTCAGCTTTCTCTTCAGTTTCTAAACTTTCCTCAATACTTGCTGAACTGTCTTCCTCTAACTCTAATATCTGTTTGTTACCTTCTTCATCTGCGTTCATCTTCTCAGTTGTGCTCAACATGTTAGAAGCGTTATCTGTCACAACACATAAAATCTGTTCCTTTTTAATTTCAAATTCTTCTAGAACACCCTCCACTAACTTCTGAAGGTAATCACTGGTGTGATGTGCCTGAGTGTCCTTTAATCCAAGGGTCCGTGTTATTGTTTTGTTATTTTCATTCACAAATCTAACATTAATAGCGAAGTAATTGACTCTGTGACGTGTGCATGCATCCATTTTAAGGAAGACAAAACGTCCTTTCAGAACTTTCTGTAGTTCTTCCTTTTTACATTTGGCCTCCTCAATTATAAGTTTCCTTATACTTTCTCTTTCCAGAGAAACGCCAAGTTTTTTTGCCATTTCTCCATTTAGGCCTAAAAGGGCTGTTTGTGAAAAGAAGGATAGTGGTAAACTATTCTTTACTACCATTTCAATAATGTGGTGTTTGAATTTTTCTGGTGTTATCCTTATGGTAGCTTTGTCAGATATAAAGAATTTTCTTATTTGTGATTGTTCTCCAGTAGATTTCTGAATGTTTTTTGTCACAGAAGTAGATGCAATGTTTTCATTGCTATCTTTCTCATTCACGGCTTCTAACACTTTGGGATGAAAACTCTGTAAGTGTCTTTTCAAATTTGCTGTTCTTGTAGGTGCATTTTTATCAGACCCACTGAAACTGCTAATTTTTGCAACACATTGTTTTTCACCATCATCATCTTTTCTAATACATTGGCACACGTAATGTTTTCCATCACTTGATAATGCAAAGTGCTCATAAACAGTAGACTTTGTCGTGTTTGTTGTATACAGTCTTTTTGACATTATTTAGGGCGCCTCTTTTCATAAAATATAAAATATGTTATATTAATTACTAACTGGCATATAATTAGATTTTTAATATCAACATCCACAGTCTTGTAAGTTGTACTTACATGGCTTTATACAAACAAATAAGCTATATTTCCCTGCACTAAACCAAGCCATGATTTGTCCTATGTAAAAAAACATGCACAGACATGTACTGTACACACACACACAACACAGAGCCTACATTTTAGTGCTCAGAGCATATAAATACACTTACAAACCTAGGATAGACAGTTTCTTCCAGAAATATGTACACATGTCCTCTCTCATACAGACAAGCAGGCATGCAGGTTTTAAAATAAATATAAACACTTACAGTTGAATCCAAGAAGCTGTTCCACCAAGTTCTTCTAAGCTCTTCTAAGCTCTTCTAGCAGAGAGAGGTAGTTGGCCAGAAGCTGCTGCCTTCTCCTTTTTGTGTGCTGAATTGCTGATCTGCTGCTGAATATAGGGCAGTGGGAGGATCCAGGAAGGGGCATTTATTATAAAACACGATTTCCCTAGTAGAATCCTATAGTCATGTTTAAAGTTTAAGCTAACAATCAGAGTTTACAAGTTTTTATAGCCTTAGCTGAATGACAGCAGTTTTTCAAATGGTTTACAGCTTCAGTCTAGAAGTATTGATCCTCCATTCCCTTCACTTATACAAGTGTCTCTAGTCCTGCAAAAAACATATTTACTTAATCCCTTATCAGTGAGAGGCTAGGTTACCCATGGGCGCTGCGTTCCCTGTAACAGCAGAACACAACACTATGGAAAGTATAAGGTATTGCCGCTCCTAATTGTGCATTGCATGCCATATAGTGAAGCACACGAAAAGCATGCTTTTTCACGGTCACTTAATGTGTTCGTTTTGCGGTTACGTGAGACACTGCATGCATTGGTCTTTATTCTTACAGTAGAGAAGTCATTAATTATAACTTTTTGTGAATTGGGACATTTAAACTTGCTTTTTTTAATTCCAATCTAAATTTAGTATGAGTAGGAGTCGGAGTCGGCAAACAATGCACCGACTCCGACTCCAGGTACCCAAAATTACCTCCGACTCCGACTCCTCGATTCCGACTCCACAGCCCTGGTTCCAACTACACTCCGTCATGGCGACGCAAATGGAAATGACGTCAGGTACCCAGAAATATCGCTGCGGAATTGAAATTATCAGGAAATTGGATACAGATGAATATTTTATATAAAATGGACATTGTGAAGATACTATCACAGCACTTGAAGAAGGCACTTGGAGCCAAAACGCATCTGCTGTTTTTACCATTTTGTTCACACCCACTTGAATTTAAGCACCCGATAAGCTTTTACTTGTGTTTATGTGTTTATGTATTTTGTAATAAAGCTTTTATCCTGCCTAAGCATCTGATGTCCAGTTTCCTGTTCTGACAACACGGATTCCATAGCCAGTATTGGCACCCCTAAGCCTGCAATACAGAGCCTGGTACGGCTCCAGGCCATGTGAGTGAGAGTCCAACTGATGTATTTTACATTGTATATTTTTTAACAGTACACACTATGTTGTTTTAATCTTGTTTTTAGGTTTTCCCAGCTATCCCAGTATCTTCTTGTGATATGGGTGTATTTGTGTTTTAAAACCATTCACTTTTTACCACTGGTGATTTGATGTACAATGATTGTTTGTTTTATTTTACAATTTGTAGTGTATTGCATTGATGACTAAATTGTTAGTGTGTATGTTTCTGAAATGTATTTCCCATGATGCTCAAATAGGGTTCAGACTGAATGTAAGAATAATTTGCACAAAAAACAAACACACAGTCAAAAGATATCCCAGGGTAATCATCCAGTAAACAGCTCGTTGCTAGTACATGTTTATTGTGAAAAAAAAGCTAAAGTACACAGACCAAGTTATAGTGAATGGACACAAAATACAAAAAGATCCATGTACCTGTAGGAAAGGGTGGACACAAAATATGCAAAAAGCTAAGAAAACGCTGGACGTGTTTCGTGTCTATACACAGATGCTTTTTTTATATTGAAATGAAAAAACATTTGTGTAAAGACTCGAAACGCATTCATTGTTTTCATAGCTCTTTTGTATATTTTTTTAATCCCCCCTTCCTACAGGTACATGGATCTTTTTGTATTTTGTGTCCATTCACTATAACTTGGTCTGTGTACTTGTTTGATTTTTTTCAACAATAAACTTGTGCTAGCAAGGAGTTGTTTCATGGATGAGTTCCCTAAGATATGTTTTGATATCTTTGTTTTTTTGTAAATTATTCCTACATTTTGTCGTTTTGGGAATGAAGGAACCAGCACCAAGGATTGGGATCTGCAACACATTCATTAAGTGAGGTTTTTCTATTTTTTCCCCTTTTTTCACTTAACTTGCATCATTATTTAGTTCCCCAAATTCAGGGTAGTTGCACTACATGTCTATAGGGTTCAGGTTGGCTGATACTATTAGAAATGTAGTTCATGAACTTTCTCAGTCCCAATGTTCGATGTAATTGGTCTTTTGGGTTAATTTAATTAGTTCTCCTATGAACGACCACCAGTCAAAATATACATAATATTTGCAAGGTTGTCTTATTACATATACATTCATTTCATACATTGTATTCCCAGACACCCTCCTATCTAGACAAGATGGCGCATCAGAGCAATCAATAATCATTCCTTCTTTCAATGGGTCTCCACAACAGACAGTGGATGAGGAGATTCCAAAAACTACACGTGAGTGTTCAGCATCTTGACTGACAACCCTATAATTATAAAACATTATTGAGATAACTGAATGTCAAGGCTCACAAAGTTCTCAGGATCAAATGTCTAGCATTATCCAACTCTGCATAATATATTGGTGCTTTATTAATAAATATTCATAACAAGCATTACCTGCTTTGAATTCACGTTGAAGCTCAAACCTTACAGTTGGTGATTTTTCTGTTTTGTAGATTATAAACTTCTCCTTAAACACTGGTGAATGATGAAATTATCTAGACTATTGTTAACAGGCAAGGAAAGTATAATGAGATTGCAAAGTTTTTAAATGGTAATGGGTAAGCTACACATTGTGATGGTTTCCAGATGCTTTATTATTATTATGATATTTATAGAGCGCCGTCAAATTCTGCAGCGCTTTACAATGGGTGGACGAACAGACATGTAGTTGTAACCAGACAAGTTGGACACAAAGAAACAGAGGGGTTGATAGAGGGAGTGGGGTAAAATGACACAAAAAGGTAAGGATAGTATTAGACTAGTGACAGTTTATAATGTGACCAAGTTGTTTGGGTTTATTTATACCAGGTGCTTTAAATAAAATATACCTGAGGACAACTGGCTAAATTGTCTTCTTATTTGGTGCCACTAATCACTACTCTTTAGTGCCCACACACATACGCAAATCCATATTCCCAGACTGAGCAAGCACATATGGGGGTATACCAACCATCTGGATGTGTTCAGGGACATTCGGATTGCAAAATCTGGACATTGTTCATGCTATTTTAAAATGTCTGGATTTTTTTGCCATTCAGACCCTGAATGGGTCTAGTTTTGGTCCAGGTTTCAGACGGACAGACCACCGCCAAACACTAAAATCCCTGCCTAGATTGAATTTTTTTTTTTTGAACTATATGCCCACTGGGAGCATTAGCAAGCAGCAAACATATAGTTAAATAACCCTTGGTGGTGCAAGAGTTTATTTTGTGGTGGCTGCCTAGCGTTTGCCTATGGGGTCTAAATGCACCACTGGGGAGAGTGTACATTTTTCATGGATTTTTATTAAAGCACTTTACTAGCAATTTTGCTAGCATAATGTACAGATTAAGTTGTTTTGTAGTTTAATTCTCAATATACACTCATTAGTCCCTGGCCTGATGCTTATCCCAAGCATGATTAAACTCCTTCACTGAGATTACCTCTACCACTTCAACTGGAAGGCGTTTACATGTATCCACTATTATTTTTAAATCTTTGCCCCTTGTTCTATTGTTGTGGTAGTTTTTCTTCTTTTAAATATAGTCTCCTCCTTTACTGTGTTGATTCCCTTTATATATTTAAATGTTTCTATCATATCCCCCCTGTCTCGTCTTTCCTCCAAACTATACATGTTAAGATCCTTTAACCTTTCCTGGTAAGTTTTATCCTGCAATCCATGAACCAGTTTAGTAGCCCTACTCTGAACTTTCTCCAAAGTATCAATATCCTTCTGAAGATACGGTCTCCAGTACTGCGTACAATACTCCAAGTGAGGTCTCACCAGTGTTCTGTACAATGGCATGAGCACTTCGCTCTTTCTGCTGCTAATATCACTCCCTATACAACAAAGCATTCTGCTAGTGTTTCCTGTTGCTCTATTACATTGTCTGCCTAGCTGTAAGTCATCTGAAATAATTAACCCTAAATCCCTTACAACAGATGTTGAGGTTATATATATATATATGTACACCATCATAGGCGTGCGCAGCCTATTGCATAAGGGTGTGAACCCTAAAGCACAAACACACACGCCACGTATATATATATATATATATATATATATATAATGCCCCCAGCAGCACCCCCATTTATGCATGTTAAGGTGAGTGCAGCCAACCCCCTCTTGTTTTATATATTGTAACAAACCACCTCTTTTACAGGTAGGATTGTCACCGATCTTGCAGTAACCACAGCCTTCTAGGGTATACAAAGTCCAGGACACGTTCAGCTCAGTTTTCCTTTTTATTCAGTAAGAAAGCAGGTACTTTAAATAATAACAAAAACAAACAAAATCCCTTGCTCTTACTTGAGCTCTTACTAGACAGTAATTGCTATCTGCAATTGGGTGGCTTTCCCACTTACCAATTTTCCAAACAAAAGCAATGTCTTTGCAATAAACACAATCTCTCCTAGCTGTCTTTTTCTCCCTCACTCTGCAGCAGGCTGCTCTCTTCTTTTAAAGGCCTGTCTACTAATTGAGTAGCTACAGGTGAGTGCCAATTAGTTAACTCTTAAAATCAGATCCAAGCTGTGGTCTGTTATACAGCAACTAGTGCTGTTGGAGCATTGGCCCACCCTGCTCTCCAAATACTCCGCCCCAGGGACCCATACCATGTTTTGCAGAGCATCAGCTATGCATATTGCAAACTTTAACATCTCTCCCTGGGGCATTTAACTGAAAAATCCTCTGGTTGCTGTTTAGCAAATCAGGTCTGATGTATCTCCCATCAACCACTATTCCACCTTTACGCTCACATATCCTCCCCCCCAGCTCATACCCATGGGTTTGAGCGACCATGGAAATCAGGGAGTGTACCCTCGAAAGCCCATCAGCATTACCTTGTTGCAGACCAGCCCTGTGTTCCACAGTGAAATTAAAAGATTGCAAACTCAAAAACCATCTGGTTACTCTGGAGTTACTTTCCCTGTTCTGATACATCCACGTCAGAGGAGCATGGTCCGTTATCAATCGGAACTTTCTGCCTAGTAGGTAGTATTTAAGAGAGTCTAATGCCCACTTAATAGCAAGACACTCTTTTTCAACAATAGAGTAGTTCTTCTCATGTGGGTTTAACTTTCTGCTCAAAAAGAAAACAGGGTGTTCTTCACCCTGGTATTCCTGTGAAAGAACAGCCCCCAAGCCCACATCAGAAGCATCTGTCTGAACTATAAAATCCCTGGAAAAATCTGGGGTCACCAAGACAGGATGGCTACAGATAGCTTCCTTCAGACTCTTAAAAGCCTTTTCTGCCTCAGGGCACCATTTTAACTATGACTGGGGATTTTGCTTTAATAAGGTCTGTTAGAGGTGCAGCAATGGTAGCAAAATCTGGAATGAACCGCCTATAATATCCAATTAAACCCAAAAATGCCTTTACTTGTTTCTTTGTAAGGGGCTTTGGCCATTTTTGTATGGCTTCTACTTTGGCTTCCTGTGGTTTAACCAAACCCCTCCCAATAGAATAACCTAAGTACTTAGCTTCCTCTAAACCAATCGTACACTTGGAAGGATTGGCAGTTAAGCCTGCTGAGCTGATAGCATCAAGTACCGCTTGAACTTTAGGGAGGTGGGATTCCCAGTCTGCACTGTGGATGACGACATCATCCAAGTATGCTGCAGCATAACGAACATGAGGTTTAAGAATTCTGTCCATCATTCGTTGGAATGTGGCAGGTGCTCCATGTAACCCAAATGGCAATACAGTGTACTGAAACAGGCCACTGGGTGTTGAAAAGGCTGTCTTTTCTTTGGCTCTTTCAGTGAGCGGGACCTGCCAGTAACCCTTTGTTAAATCCAAGGTTGTTAGATAACGAGCATTGCCCAGTCTTTCTATTAACTCATCAACTCTTGGCATTGGGTAAGCATCAAATTTTGAGATGGCGTTTAACTTGCGGTAGTCATTGCAGAACCTCCATGTGCCATCAGGTTTTGGCACCAATACAATAGGACTACTCCAGTTACTCTGGGATTCTTCAATGACTCCAAGTTTTAACATGTTCTCAACCTCTAAGTTTATAACCTCCCTCCGGGCCTCAGGAATTCTATAGGGTTTGAGGTTAACTCTTTTCCCTGGTTCGGTTATTATGTCATGTTTAATCACTTTAGTCTTTCCTGGAACTACCGAGAAAACATCCCTATTTCTTCTGATGAAATCTCTGACCTCTTGCTTTTGATGTACAGACAGAGTCTCAGATACGTTCACCTCTGGCTCCACTATAGGAGGTTCTGAAGGTTTTAAAGCAACCAGGACCTCCCTGTCCTTCCATGGCTTTAACAGATTTATATGATACAACTGTTCAGGCTTTCTTCTTCCTGGTTGTCTGACTTTATAATTGACATCACTCACTTTCTCTATTATTTCATAGGGTCCATGCCAAGTCGCAAGGAACTTATTCTCCACAGTAGGGACCAGAACCAATACCCTGTCTCCAGGTTGGAACACTCTGACTCTAGCATTACGGTTATAGCTGTTTTTCTGAGCCTGCTGGGCTTCCAGCATGTGTTCCCTGACAATAGGCATGATGGTGGCCATTCTATCCTGCATTTGAGCTATATGCTCAATTACACTCCTGTGAGGAGTAGTCTCCTGTTCCCAGGTCTCCTTAGCAATATCCAATATTCCCCTGGGATGTCTTCCATATAATAATTCAAAAGGAGAGAAGCCCGTGGAGGCCTGTGGAACTTCCCTAATGGAAAACAGTAGATATGGCAATAAAAAATCCCAATTTCTTCCATCTGCATCAATTACCTTGCGTAGCATACTCTTAAGGGTTTTGTTGAACCTCTCTACTAAACCATCAGTCTGTGGGTGATATACTGAGGTCTTAAGATGTTTAACCTGCAAGAGCCTGCACAACTCTTTTGTGACTCTGGACATGAACGGGGTCCCCTGGTCTGTCAGTATTTCTTTAGGGATACCCACCCTACTGAACATCAACATAAGTTCCTTAGCTATTAACTTTGCAGAGGTATTACGCAAGGGAATGGCCTCAGGGTAGCGAGTTGCATAGTCCAAGATGACTAATATATATTGGTGTCCCCTAGCGGACTTTACCAGTGGCCCCACTAAGTCCATAGCGATCCTTTCAAAAGGCACATCAATTATGGGTAAGGGTACAAGTGGACTACGAAAAGTCTTGAAAGGAGCCCTGTACTGGCACTCAGGACATGAGGAGCAATAGTTTGTAATAGCAGCAAACACTCCAGGCCAGTAAAACCTTCTAAGGACTCTCTCTCTAGTTTTTTCGACTCCCAAGTGTCCCCCTAATATGTGGCTGTGAGCCAACTTTAGCACTATATTCTGGTAAGTCTGAGGAACCAACAGCTGCTTAATGATGTCTGAATCCTTTTTTTCTACACGGTAAATTAGGTCATTTTGTACTTCAAAATAGGGGAACGGCAGTGCTTCTCCTGGCTGATTAGCAACCCCGTTTACAACTTTAATATCATTTCTAGCTGTCACTAAAGTGGGATCTTCCCACTGAGCGCTTTTAAAGTTACCTGGACTAATTCCAATATCAATTAAGTCCTTATCCTTGTCTGCAGTATTAGTAGGCTCCTCACTAGTTTGAGCTGGGTTATCTCCTATTAATACTGGTTTAGGGCAGTATTTTTTCTTTTTTCTTATTTTTCCGTCACAGTGGTCAAAACCCAAGTCAATATCGGAAAAAGGGAACACATTATCCTCGACAGACTGACTCATTTCTGATAAATTTTGGTCTGTCTTTTGTAAAGCTGCCCATAATTTTAGAAAATGAGGAAAGTCTCTACCGATCACTACCTCATGGGCTAATCTAGGTACTACACCCACTCGGTACTTTAAATCCCCATACTGGGTTCCAATATTTACTTCCGCAGTGGGGTATTCCTTTTTATCACCATGAACACAGATAATGCCTATTTTCTGTACATGATCAGGTTTTACACAAGGTATTATAGACTCTGCTACCAACGTAACCATACTACCTGAATCAAGTAATGCTTTAGACATTTTTCCATTCACAGTTACACAGCATTTATGAGCGTTATTATCATAGTCATTGTTAACAGTACCATAACAACTGAGCAAAAATGAACGTGTTCCCTCATCTTTGCCCATATTGCATTCCATAGGTTCATCCTTAAATGGACAGTCTTTGGCCATATGACCATCCTCTTTGCACTTGAAACATTTGACAGTACAATCTGACCACCAATTAGTTCCTTTCCCAGGCCTATTAGACCTGGATGCCCCCTGGTGTTTTGTGTATAGAGCTGCAGTTCTTCAGCTCCCCTTAAACCTTGAACAGTCTTACCAGGTCTTGCAGAATCTTGGGGCTTAGGATTGCGAGGGTTTGCCTGTGAAGTAGGACATAGCAGTTCTCCTGCAGCCACATATCTTTCCACCAAGGCAATCAGTTGGTCAGCTGTATGGGGGTCACTTTGGCTGACCCAGCGACGCAGGGAAGCTGGTAAACCACGCAAAAACCGGTCCATTACTAAGGTTTCCACAATGTGGCTAGCTGAATGGATTTCAGGTTGTAACCATTTCCGTGCAAGGTGTATGAGGTCAAACATTTGGGAACGTGCGGCTTTGTCTGAAGAATATGACCATGAGTGGAACCTTTGGGCACGTACTGCAGAGGTTACACCCAGTCGTGCCAAGATTTCAGCTTTCAATTTGCTGTAGATACTTGCATCGGCTGGTTCTAGGTCATAATATGCCTTCTGCGGCTCTCCACTTAGGAACGGTGCCAGTATGCTTGCCCACTCACCAGCCGGCCATCCCTCCCTCTCAGCAGTGCGCTCAAATGCCAGAAGGTACGCCTCAACATCATCTGATGCGGTCATTTTCTGAAGATAGTGGCTCGCCCGAATCACCTTTGGCCCCTGGTATCTTCCATCAGGGTCTCCATTCAGTTTTTCAGAGATAGCTTGGATTTCCTGTTGTAGTCCCTGGGTGACTTTTTGCTGCTCCTCACGGGCTACTTTAAACATCTCCGCTTGTGTCACAACAAGCTGTTTCACCAAGGACTCAGTGCACTCCATTTGTGTTTTGGCCAGGACTTTAGCACACTCTGCCTGGGCCAGCACCAGTTGCTGCAGGGCTGCACTGTTTTCTGCAGCTCTCCTGTTAGTCTCCTGTTGCACAGAGGTGGATTGGATCAGAGCCTTGATAACATCCTCCATGTTGAGCTTTAAATGACTTCTACCCTCAGGCTTACGTGGCTGCCCGCATTCTCCACCATATGTAACAAACCACCTCTTTTACAGGTAGGATTGTCACCGATCTTGCAGTAACCACAGCCTTCTAGGGTATACAAAGTCCAGGACACCTTCAGCTCAGTTTTCCTTTTTATTCAGTAAGAAAGCAGGTACTTTAAATAATAACAAAACAAACAAAATCCCTTGCTCTTACTTGAGCTCTTACTAGACAGTAATTGCTATCTGCAATTGGGTGGCTTTCCCACTTACCAATTTTCCAAACAAAAGCAATGTCTTTGCAATAAACACAATCTCTCCTAGCTGTCTTTTTCTCCCTCACTCTGCAGCAGGCTGCTCTCTTCTTTTAAAGGCCTGTCTACTAATTGAGTAGCTACAGGTGAGTGCCAATTAGTTAACTCTTAAAATCAGATCCAAGCTGTGGTCTGTTATACAGCAACTAGTGCTGTTGGAGCATTGGCCCACCCTGCTCTCCAAATACTCCGCCCCAGGGACCCATACCATGTTTTGCAGAGCATCAGCTATGCATATTGCAAACTTTAACATCTCTCCCTGGGGCATTTAACTGAAAAATCCTCTGGTTGCTGTTTAGCAAATCAGGTCTGATGTATCTCCCATCAACCACTATTCCACCTTTACGCTCACAATATATATATATATATATATATAACCCCCTCTTGTTTTATATATATTGAGCACACACACATATTTTATATATATACACACACACACACACACACTGCTGTGTGTTTGTGTGAGGGTGTTGTGTGTGTGTGGGTGCTGTGTGTGTGTGAGGGCGCTGTGTGTGTGTGAGGGCGCTGTTTGTGTGTTTGTGAGGGTGGTGTGTGTGTGTAAGGGTGCTGTGTGTGTGTGAGGGTGCTGTTAGTGTGTGTGGGTACTGTGTGTGTGAGGGAGCTGTTTGTGTGAGGGAGCTGTTTGTGTGTGTGTGTGGGGGTGCTGTTAGTGTTTGTGTGCTGTGTGTATGTGTGAGGGTGCTGTATGTGTGAGGGTTCTGTTAGTGTGTGTGTGCTGTGTGTGTAAGGGTGCTGTGTGTGTGTGTGGGTGCTGTGTATGTGAGGGTGCTGTATGTGTGTGGGTGCTGTATGTGTGTGTAGCGGTACTTAACTTACCCGGGGGTCGGCCGGGGTCCTCTCTTCCCGCCGTGCGCGGCTCTCGGATGAAGGCGGGCATGGACCGCGAGATGCGGTCACGTGTCCCGCCTAGCTCTAAGAGTGTGCCGCGCGTCTCGGGCACGCTCTTAAAGGGGCAGTGGGAGCCAAAAAATACAACAGTCTCCCATTGGCCCCTGTCATCCCACATTCCCCATACACTCACTTTTTGGGGGCGTGGATATGACAGGGGTCAATCAAAGTAAACATTAGGGTATTTATACTTACCTCTCCCTTAACTCCCTGCCCTATCATGGTTTCTGTTTCAGTTCCCTTTAGCGCTTGTTGTGTTCAGTTGTGATTTTCATGCTTGACCTTGGCTTTGTATCTGACTTCATTTATCTCTCTATCCCTGTTTTGTCTTGTTTGCCGGCTTACTGACTACTGTGTACCAGACCTTGGCTAGTTTTTGTTCTCGCAGTCTCTTTGTTCCCTTGACCTCGGCTCGTTCTTGACTCTGTCTATTCTCTCCGGTAAGACGTATCTGCTCTATCTGTCGATTGTTGGACTAAATCGTGCGTGTTGGGGTAAACTACCGTGACAATGTGTGGGTGCTGTGTGTGTGAGGGTGCTGTTAGTGTGTGTGTGCTGTGTGTGTATGTGTAAGGGTGCTGTGTGTGAGGGTGCTGTATGTGTGTGGTTGCTGTTTGTGTGTATTTGTTTTGAGGGACTGTGCGGGTGGGGGGGACCATTTAGGAAATAGCCACCTCCCTTCTTACCTTTTGTAGGGGCTAGAGTTCACTCTCACGAGATCTGAGCATTGCCATGGCAACGCTTTGACCTCATGAGAGGAACCCGACGGAGCTGCTGGCTAGAGCTCCCCGGGTCCTCTCCTGCCTCCCTCCCTGCGGGCCGGTGTGGGAGATCTTTGATGAAGGCAGATAGCGCGGCACATGAAGGCAGATAGCGCGGCCTGCGGGGATTAGGGTGTACACCATATGTGTTTTATATATTTTATATTTACTATTTGGAATGCTATTTGTCTGGTTGTCAGGATCCTATCCTGACAACCAAGATATTGTTTTATTTTATTACTTCAATACCTGTTTCTCGCCTCTAGTGACCTCCCTAACCTCTAGTCAATCCTCCGTCACTCTCACCTGCCTCATATGATCTTGCAAGTCTTCTATAAAAGGCCACACCCAACTAAAAGGGGGCCTTTACATTGAGAGAAGTTGTGTTCTGCACATGGCTCTTGCTTATACTTGTTTATGGTCTGATACAGACAAGACATCTATTCCTAGCTCAAACTGATTCCTGATAACCTGCTCAACTCTGATTTCCTTTGATCCATCCTGATTCATCCAAACATCCTGCCTTAATTCAAACTGGACTTTGTTTTCTATTATTCCTTATTTGCTTTGGATCTAACCTGCCTGGACTTTACTAACCATAGTATTAAAGGGACACTATAGTCACCTGAACAACTTTAGCTTAATGAAGCAGTTTTGGTGTATAGAACATTCCCCTGCAGCCTCACTGCTCAATCCTCTGCCATTTAGGAGTTAAATCCCTTTGTTTATGAACCATAGTCACACCTCCCTGCATGTGACTTGCACAGCTTTCCATAAACACTTCCTGTAAAGAGAGCCCTATTTAGGCTTTCTTTATTGCAAGTTCTGTTTAATTAAGATTTTCTTATCCCCTGCTATGTTAATAGTTTGTAAGAGCCTCCTGTATGTGATTAAAGTTCAATTTAGAGATTGAGATACAATTATTTAAGGTAAATTACATCTGTTTGAAAGTGAAACCAGTTTTTTTTCATACAGGCTCTGTCAATCATAGCCAGGGGAGGTGTGGCTAGGGCTGCATAAACATAGACAGAGTGATTTAACTCCTAAATGACAGTGAATTGAGTGAAATTGCTGGGGAATGATCTATACACTAAAACCGCTTTATTTAGCTAAAGTAATTTAGGTGACTATAGTGTTCCTTTCAGTTGAACTCTGCTGGAAAACCCTGATCCACTTATCTGGTAACTTCTGTACAAATCATCCAAACTAAAGAGACTGTCCACCTTAACTTAGAACCAGCCTGAATTCCATTATCCTTTATTATGCTGTTTAATATTGTCTGATATTATGTTTACTTGTTACCTATTATTTCACTGATAGGATTCCCTTTCTCCTGTAAACCTGCTTTGGAGCATATTGCCCAAACTTCTAACTCTTCTACTACTACTCCTTCATACTTACCTGTAATTCTGTTTCTAGGCTGCGCTTTCCCCCTATGTCTTTATTTTTCCTTTTCTCTTTTTATCCGGTTGTTTTTGTTACCTTTGTCTAAACCATGTCTACTAACTCCAATAACCTACCTAAAGTTAACCCTGGCATAAGTCTCCTCTCTGACCTGCTCAGAATCATAACACTGGTGTTCCAGTTCTTAGCAGGAATTTAAGTGGCATTTTAGATAGAGATTTGTCTATGTTTTTCAGATTCCCTAAGATCACCTATGATCAACTCTGCAAAAATCACAAATGGGAGCAGCTTCCTTTGTAACTCAGAGATTCCCAAAGGATATAATCATCAAACCAAAGGTCCTAAAAAGTCATCTTCCCAAAATCGTCTGGAGAAACAAACCAGCAAAGCAAGCAATGAAGGTTCTCAGTCTCCCAGCCTACCGCCTGGTTATGAAAAAGGTATATTGGAGCCAAAAATCATCTGATATAAACATAACCATTTTTTTTAATATCAAGCATACACTGATCAGTCACAACATTAACACTGACCGGTGAAGTGAATAACATTGGCTAAATAGTTACAATGGCATCTCTCAAGGGACGGGATATATTTGGCAGCAAGTGAATAGTCAGTTGTTGACTTTCATGTGTTAGAAGCAGGAGAAATGGGCAAATGAATAAATCTGAGTGAATTTAACAAAGGCCAAATAGTGATGGCACTTCCAAAATGGAAAGTATTGTGTGGTGTTCCCTCTGTGCAGTTGTTAGTACCTACCAAAACTGGTGCAAGGAAAGTCAAACGGTGAACTGGCATCATGGTCATGGACACCAAAGGCTCATTAATTCAGATTGAAATCAAAGGTAAGTCTGTCTGATCTGATCACACAGAACAGCTGCTGTAGCTCAAATTGCTTAAAATTATCAAAGGTTTTTTGGAGTCCATGCTTTAATGCACCAAAGCTGTTTTGGCTACACGAGGAGAGCCTACACAATGTTGGGCAGATGGTTTTAATGGGATGGCTGATCTGTGTACATTATCTATACAGCAGAAGCAGGTTTTGATAAATGTTATTAAAGGGGCTCTCTCTAGGCAACAATACATTTTGCATAGCTTTTGGCCTGAATAATTATCTCTGATTTTAGTTTTGCTCAATTCTGTATAGTGTTTTGCAGCATTCTGCATCTTAGCACTACCTTTATGTTATTCTGTAGGTGTGGGAGATGTGCTGGGCTATGTGGCAGGGTTAGAGAGTACTGGCGAGTCATGGGAGTGGATGAGTTGCTTACCGGTGTCAGTGCTCAGAAATTGACACATTTTGGAAATATTGCATAGGTGGTTGCAGCAGGATGAAGTGTCATTTGAAGCAATGGAGTGGGGGTGATGGGGAGATAGCTATGCTGTCAGAATTTGTAATGGAGCTAGAGGGGGAATAAGAAGGGTCTCACTCTTGGACATACTAATCTTCAGGTGACGGAGGCCATCCAGGGAGAAATGCCAGCTAAGCAGCCGCTGACATGCGAAAAGACAACTTGAGAATACCACAACAGTAAAGTGTTTGTAGAAACACACAACAAGCACAAGCTCATGGTAGTGGATATGGTGCCAGGAGTGCCTTGGTGCCTCCTAGTGGAGATAGTCAAACTGTTTAAGAATGGTTTGACAACTTACCTGCTGTCTACTGGGCACAAGTCACCTCCTTTTAGAGTCTAGAAGCTCCTGCCTGGAGGTTCTTGTAACTTCCCTGAGCCAGCTCATTGGCTGAGAGCACTGCACCACTGGACTCTCTCAGAGCAAGGACATTCTGGACTGCACAGGAGGAGGCAATCACTTCTGGCACCATAACCACTGGAGCACTGCACCACTGGACTCTCTCAGAGCAAGGACATTCTGGACTGCACAGGAGGAGGCAATCACTTCTGGCACCATAACCACTCTGCAGTGGTCATGGTGCTTGGAGTGTTCTTTTAAAGCAGTAAACATGATATTTAAACTATTTGCTTGCCTGTTTTCTTGACATTACCATGCCTTTAACAAAACAAGAAACACAAATTCCTATTATTTAGCATTTTAATGATATTGCTTTTTCTCAGCCTCTCTATAATATCATTGTCTCCTTTTCAGATTGCTGTGTGCATTGTACCTTAGCACTCCTGTTCTGTCAATTCTTGTCTCTGTGTAACTTGTTACTGGATGTCCTGACGTGTGGTTCCTGTTCTGTGGACTCTTCAGAATTCTGCTGCTCATGCTGTTCAATAGAAGGGTGTCCAGACTGTAGCGATTCCTGCGGCACGGACTGCGGCATTGTGGACGCATGTTGCGAATCTGCCGACTGCCTGGAAATTTGCATGGAGTGTTGTGGCCTTTGTTTTTCCAATTAAAATGCAAATACAGAACTGGGCCAACAAAGGGTTGCTTGAAGGCAACCTGTCATATAAACTTCCTTTTATTTTAAACAGTAGACATTTTTGAATAACTAAGTAGATGATCTCAGCAATTTATAGCATACATACCCCATTATCCTCCTTAAAGCAGGTGATAACTGTTTTATTTAATCAGTTTCTACTCATGTTAAACCAATTATTTTCTTGGTATAAAATAAGTTAGATATATTTGCGTGCCCGTTGGTTGTGTAATTAAGAGCAAGGCTGCATGCACACAAATACAACTTGTCAAAAACAAAGAGAAGCCAGTTGTATGCAGGTAAACCATAGAGAGAAGCAGGGGTGGCGAATATGGTAGATATGATGAACATTAGTTGTAATGGAAGAGATACCTGCATCACTGAAGTTAAAGGATTTCAAAGGAAAGGTCCTAGGTGGATTAATAGATCTACAGGCCAGGGGTGGGATTTCTAGGAGCTACAAAACAAAGAATAGTGGCACCTGGTGACATTTAGAGATGGTGGGGCACTAAAATCTACCCCTTAAATTTGACTCTCCCCCCTGACTTGTTTGGGCTCTGCCTTTTTCACTCCATGTACTTCACCCCCTGCTCCCATTACCCAATGGCAGCCCTAGAAGACAGAACAGTACAGTTTTATGGCATACAGGATATAATGGCCCATGCAAAGCCAATGGATGATCACAGAACTCCTGTACGAGCAGAGTCAGTATATCTGAGAGGGCTATACCAAGACATTTAAAGGGACACCGTAGGCACTGTATCTGCTTCATCTCATTAAACTGGTTATTGTGTCTGGAGTCCTCTGGTACCATCATTTCTTTCAGCATTAAACAGTTTTTAAAGTTTTTTTTTTTCAGTGTCTTAAATTTTTATTGAGCTTTTTCATATTCATCAAATCAGAGAAAAACAGGGGGGTGGGGGGGTACAGAAAGCAAAAGGGGAGGGGGATGCAGACATTGTATAGAGCCAAACAGGCTACTTGACAGCGCAGATCAAATATACAATACAAATATTAAATACAACTATTACATGTACATTAACGCAGTGCATGAACAGTGTGGGTTAGGGATGCATTGCGAGTAGGCCTAAGCTATGGTGATTTAGGATCGGATAGCATGACTTCATACTAACATATTCATCTTATGTCAATTTGTTATAAAAGGGTACATTTGTTGGTCTAAGGACCCGTCACTGGTCAAATACCCGAAACCCTGCTAATATGGTTCTGTGGCATATCATGATAGGTTACCAATCCTGTCGATGTCCATGGGGCCTTTTACTACAACCATTGCACCCTGGGTTCTAGCTGCCTCATTGTCTGGCCTGTTTTTGAAGTTGACTCCTGCACTAAAGGGTTGTCGGTAGTGTGGCGTTGGTGTAGTTGAGGTAAGGTAGCTGCGTTATGGTGTAGTTCCTCCAGGGTCCTGATGGATCAATAGGGTTGGTCATTAGCACCCTTGTTGGCCTCTAAACTGAACCCAGCGTTGCCAATGCCTAGTATATGTATGTTCCTCGCTTCGGAGGCGGCTGGCCATTCGTTCAAAGTTGCACGTTGTGTCGAGACGTGTGAGGACTTCCGTTAGGTTTGGGCTTTGCAGTTGTTTCCATCTGTGTGCTATTGCTATTTTGGCTGCAATGAGACAGTGAGTGAGTATGTGTAGTTCGTCCTCCCTGGGTTCGTCCTCCCTGGGGGAAGATGTGGAGTAGGTAGCATTCTGGGGATTTTGGTACTCTAACCTTCAGCTCCTTTAAGAGAAACTGTTCTATTGCGTCCCAGAATTTACCTATTTTCGGACATGTCCAAAATACATGGAGTAGTGTGCCTTCGTTGTCATGGCATCTCCAACACATGGAAGACGTGTTTGGGTAAATATGCGCTAGGCGTGACGGTACCATATACCACCTCATAAGTAATTTACAAAACGCCTCTCTATAGGCAAGGCTGTATGTGGCTTTTTTCACCCTTCCCAGAGCCCTCCGCCACGTATCTTGGCTAATTTGTGTATGTAGATCCTTCTCCCAAGAGCTCATGTATGAGGGAATTTCCTTGTCTACTAGGTTCATAAGTGAGGTGTAACAAAAAGATAATGCTTTGATACCCTTTAGTTTTCCTTGGCACTTGAGGAGAAATCGTGGCGATGGGGATTTCCTGCCTCTATGTAGTTTATGATCATGTAAGATGTTTTTTATGCGTAGGTATGTGAATAGTTCCCTAGACGGGAGGGTGAAGGTCTGTTGTAGTGTTGGGAAAGGTGCCACTCCCGCATCATCGAACAGGGTGCTCACATGGAGAATGCCATGTCGTACCCATGTGTTGAGGAATAGATCATATGTGTGGAGTGTTAGCGATTGCAGGGGTGCGGCGTACATGAGATCTTTGCCTATATCCAATTTTAGGATCGTCTGTCTCCATATACGGAGCATCAGTTTTGTCGGGGGTAATATATTAATGTCCTTTATCTGCCGGTCTGAGTATGCCCATAGGGCATCTTCCACCGTTCCTTGTGTCATGCAGGCATTTTCTAGTGCCAGCCAGATGGGAGGTGCCGTACCTTCCAGGACCGCTAGGCCCTGTGCCAGTATTGAGGCTTTATAATATAGCTGAACATTGGGCACACTGAGGCCTCCTTCTGAGAAGGGTCTCCAGATCAATTTCTGCGAGACCCGGGGGGGTTTTCTCTTCTATATATGTGCGTTTATGGTTGATTGGAATCTTTTCACTATCGTGTTTGGGATCGCTATCGGCAGGGTACGGAAGAGGTATAAGATGTGTGGCATAATCATCATCTTAATAGTGTTTATGCGACCCAGCCAAGAAAATCCTTTATCGTCCCATTGTTTGAGTTGGAGATCTAGTTTCTGTAAAAGTGGGATATGATTCACTTTTGTTACTAATGTGGGTGTGGCAGGTAATTGAATACCTAGATACGAGATCGATGATTTACGCCAGTCGAATGGATATTCGGATTTAAGGGTTTGTAGTGTGTGGTGTGGCAGGCGGATTGCTAGGGCTTGTGATTTTTTTCGCATTATTCCTATAATATGACACCTTGCCATATCTGTCCAAAAGTGCCAGTAAATTGGGGAGGGATTGAGAGGGTTCAGTAGTTTTTAAAGTTTTAATGCTTTAATGCTAAACAAGAGTCCCAGGCAATCCATCCCCTCTGTGCTGCTTTGGCTAATAAGGAAGTATTAGCCTGAGCAGCAATGGACAGCTGTGATTGGCTGAGAGTGTCAGCTGACTGCTTTTAGCCTGTCAGAGTTCCAACTGACGGTATGAGTGGGTATGACAACAAGGAAGTGTGTAATCTCTGCCTTAGCTACACATACTGAAGGGGCCGGACTGTGGGTGGCCAGGGACTCTTATTTTGTGGCATACTGCACGAACATGGTGCAACACTGAATGGAGGGGCAGTGCCAGGGTACTCCAGGCACTATAACCAATTCAAAGAGATGAAATGCTTATAGTGACTACAGTGTCCCTTTAAAGAAAACACCCCATAAAAAGAGTTTTTAGCAGCATCTCCAGCCATCAATGAGAGGGAGAGATTAAACCAGAGAGCTTAGCATAGCAGACACAACATGGCTTTTTCTAACATGTACTTATCACCAGAACAATAAACTGATTTTTTTTAATTGCACTAACAAATGTGTTATTGTTAATAGTATTGTAACTGGTGAAGAACAAAAACCAAAATGCCTCATATAGTAAAATTCTATGTTAAAATCCAGCACCCCAATAAAAATCCAATTTTCTTTAAAACTTCTGATTTTTAAATTACATTAAAGTCAAAGTAGAGACTAATTTGCCCACATATGGCTAATAAAAAGGCCAAGCAAGGCCAGAGAGAAATTCAAATTAGTCTCTCCTTCAATCCTCACTGTGACAGAGTCTATGGGAGGGTAATAGAAGGAAGGTATTTAGGACCCAGACTCCTCCATAGCCTGTACTCATTCACCTGTCCAATTAGCAACTGCTGAGGCTTTAATTAGCAGGTCTCAGAGCAGATAGAGGGGAGATACAATCTGACCTGCAAAGAGAGCAGGTCTGTGCAGAGCAGCACCAAACAAAGTGCTAAAGTTTGTTGAAACCAATGTTTATTCTGTTGATTTGTTTAGATTACCCTGGTTTAGTAAGGGACATTAATTTATGTTTAGTAAGTGCTCGAATTTGAGCTAGGGTTTTGTTTGAAGATTTTTCTTTCTGTTTTGCTGCAGTTTTGAACAAACTGATTGCTGCATGGCTTTTTGTACACAATGTGAATAAACCACACCTTTTTTTTTTTTTTTGCATAAGAGTCTGTTGTTCTATACCTGTTACCCTAGAGGACTGTGTTGCTTTGCCCGTAAAGGTCACATCACCCATAGTTGCTGAATTCCCCGAGATATTCTTCATCTCAGTGTATGTGAAATAAGAGCCAGATTAACATATTAGGTGATTGTAAGCACTGAAATTCCAGGTTTCCCTCTACTCCCCCCAATATGTATTTAAAATATTTAGATAAGAATTCAAATTCAAACGGTTCAAATGAGAGCTAAGGTAAAGTATGTTAGGTTGTTTTAGTGTTAGAGAAGTATTAGATTAAGGTTTCGGTAAAGTAGGTATATGGATTTAGCTTGTTTAGTGTTACAAAAGAGTTTAACTTCGTCTAAGGCAACGGAAAGGTTTTTTTACTGTAAGAACAATCATTATGTGGAATTCTCTGCCTGAGGAAGTGGTTTTATCAGAGTCCATACAGATGTTCAAACAGCTACTAGATGCATACTTGCAAAAACAGAATATTCAAGGATATAATCTTTCAATGTAGGGTAATAACTGCTTGATCCAAGGATAAATCTGACTGCCATTCTGGGGTCAAGAAGAAATTTTTTTCCTAGCTTGTTGCAAAATTGTGCTTCAAACTGGGTTTTTTTGCCTTCTTTTGGACCAACAGCAAAAAACAAATGTGAGGTAGGCTGAACTTGATGGACGCAAGTCTCTTTTCAGCTATGTAACTATGTAACTTTGAGTTTGTGGTAATGAGTATAAAGGCTATGTTAAAGTTAAGTAAAACACCTCCTTTATTTGACATTGTCCATGAGTCCATACATCCAATGTGGGTAGTCTTCTCTGTATGCTGTCTTTGTGCTGGCTGACAGGACAGAGCAATACAATAATGGCCGACACAGGCCAAGATAGAAGTGCCTAATTGTATGATAAAGCATTTTGATTTCCTCTTTCATTTAAATTAAATTTTTACACCTCACAAATATACGTAGCTTATGACAGTAACCCTTTAAGTGTTGAGATAGGTGCTGTTACAGGATATGCCAATACAGTCATGATATCGTGGTGACTAAAGAGATGATAGCAGTGATAGGCAATGGTTCTTTCGATGTAGCTCTCTATAGTTTGGCATTTCATCCTGGTGCTACGTGATATACATTGGCGAACAACTAGAAAATGTATTCTTACACAAAAGCAACAACCGGACCTTTTTAAGAAGAAAAATAATAAACTCATCAGACTTTAGCAGGATTATCACAAACATCTCACAGAGAAAGAGAAACGGAAACAATCGGTCTTTACTAAGTGAATAAAAAAGACGCTATTCTCACTAACTTTGCCATTTAAAACAGTGAAATTAAGAAATGTATGTGGCTTTTTCTCACCCAGTTAGGCAAGATGGTAGTCGGCAAGATTAAGTGACTGACCAAAGGTGACAAAAAAGGTGCCAAGAAGAAGTTTGTATGTTAAGGCACCAGCAATGTTCAAACTGATTACTGAAGATATCCTGGGCAAGAACTGTCTAACCAACTCCCACGCATATTGCTAATTCTGCAGGCAGGAGAGATATTCTGTTTTAAGTATTGTCTTCCCCATCCTTTTTATAAATATTTCATTATGTTATTGTAAGTTCCTGTATGTTGTCTGATATTATTTTGTTAGTTGTAGGTTATTGAAGTTGTCACATCTAAATTTAATGAGAATATGGGCTAGTCCAGAGTAAAAATAAAGCTGAGTATATTAGTTTGTTTTTAAACTGTGTGGATTTTTTGAGATCACAGTAACAGAGTCTTCGGACCTGTTGGTTGGCTGCACGATCCCTCCAGTCCAGGGGCAAAACAGAAAGAGAGCTAGGCCTGAATGCCGCAAGTGTCATTAGAAAGACTGGAGCTATCACATTGCATGCAGAGGCGCATAACTGCCTGGAAGTAAAGCTGCAGAGAGGTAGGCAGAGGGGACAATACCTGCCTGAAAGGAAAGCTGCAGAAATATAGGCAGAGGGGACGATACCTGCCTGAAAGGAAAGAGCTCTCGAGAGACCCAAGTCAAGCTTAGGCGAATGGTGCTGAAGCACTCCAGGCTTCCTCCCCAGCGGCTAGGGATCAGACTGGACGGAGGTGCTCGATCACAGTACAGGAGGCATCAACGCTTGTTTTCATATTCTCTCTTGCGCCGACAACCAGACAATACAGACACCGAATTATTAAAGAATTATCACACTGGCACTATTAATCCTCACACATAATTATTTCAGTTTTAGGAATGAGGTCTACCTACAAAGCATGGGCATTGCTATGGGTACTAAGATGGTACCCCAATATCTGTTTATAGTAGACCTAGAACAGAGATTCCTAGAAATACAGCATACAAAAACATACAAATATTACTGATACATAGATAATATCTACATAATGTTTAACTCATTTCATAAATCAAACTAAAAATGTAATATTCAAAATCTTGTACACGTACCATTTGTGGTTACGTACAACCCAGCTCTCGAAGAAATACAGAAAATTATTAAAGATCTATAACCAATGCTGGCAGAAGATGAGACTCTGAAAACATTTTCTCTGAAACCCCTACTTTGGCCTTTAGACAACCACCAAACATTTAACAAAAATTAATCAACAGGCCCTAGTGATAGGAGGAATAAAGAAAACGGGACCAGACAATGCTAAAAACCTAGCTGCAAACTGTTCCAGCACAGACAACACAGCCTCCCACAACAATAAAACCTACAGCATTAAAGGATCATACTCCTGCACATCCAACAATGTGGTATACATGATTCAATGCACCAAGCACCAGGAACCCACCCCACCCCCCAGCAATTAACTGTCAGAATGAATATGCATAGACACTCCATTAAACACCACAAAGAATGGCGGCGGTGCTTGAGTCTCATGGCGGACAGTCACGCTTTGCAGGAGCTCCGAGCTCGACATTCACTGTAAAACGGCTATACTGATTACTTACCTGTCACACAGACAGATATCGAGACTCACCTTTTCCAGGAGCCGACAGGAGTGTCCTGAACCGACCGATCCAGCCCTAACATCACCGCAGAAGGATATCTCGGTGAGGCCTGGTGGTGCTGCCCGGCGCGAGAGAGAGACAATCTCTCGTCCTGAGGATTGCAGTGGCTTCCCTTGGTTGTCCTCCTGTCCCGTTTTTCCCCCTCTGGACTGGGCACACAGCTTGTACCAACAGAGGGACAATACCTGCCACACTGTGCTGTCGCAACGCCCGACATGATGGCGACTGAGCACTCAGTTAATTGCTGATCAAACTGTGCAGATGTTCTATGCATGTTATCTTATTATTTAACATAAAACGAGGCTTGAAAATGTGTAACCATTCCTGCTTTGCATTATACAACTACTAAGTGATGTACCAGCTGTAATTTCGATTGCAATTGTCTACCGAATATATCCATGCTGTACTATGCTATTTTTCTGCAGATGTCACTGTGTCATTTAACAAGTGTCTGTTGTGCTTATGCCTCAATAAAAATATGATTGACAACAACAAAAAACACTACAAAGAAGAACCTTATTGCACTCCTATCAGACACCATTTTACACAGCCTGACAATTTAATCAACAACCTAAAACTCAAAGTGCTCAAAGGTGAATTTTAGAAATACCCAAGAAATAAAAACATTTGACGACAGAATTATTTTTTTAATGTTATTTTTTTGCAAATCTTTATTTTTGCAGTGCATGCGATAACAGACAAGCTTGCTACACCACAACAGTATTAGCAAGCAGTTCAAAAACAGGCCTAATCAGACAGTGACATGTTATCTGATTCATTCACACTTTTTTAATTAAAGGTAACAACAAGCAGAATAATAATAGACAAGGTGAGCATCAAGTTATACTATGTAATAATAATATAACAGACTACAAGTAATTCATTAGTAGAGTAACTTGCATAATTAAAAAAGAAAATGGTCCTACTCACTAACCCTTGACAAATGCACAAGGTAAACCATATTTAGGTTCAGAAGACATGATGGCATTAACTAATTAAAAGTGCCTCATATTAAAGTACAGATCATGTGGTAATAGCCACTAAACCATGATTCTCCAAGGCATTGCTGCATCGTATAAATTATAAAGGTTAGCGAAATAAAAACTCGATCACTGCGTAGATTAAAAAACAGGAGCATTTAAATCATGGCAGGCATTGGGGATAAGGCATTGTGGAACTACCAATTAGCCCTGGATGGAAAGTTCTGTGTCAGACTTAGTGTCACACTAGGTGAAAGTTCACCCAGACTCAGAAACATATGGAGGTAGTCGAGAGGATTTGCCAGACAGAAGCTAAGCGTGGTATATCTCCAGCCCCAGGCCATAGTGAGGGCCAGCATCTCATAACCGTGGACTCAGGGACATGTGTCAGAGTCCAAGTCCTTTCCCATCGAAAAACGGCAATAGTGGTCCGTTTTCACCTGCAACGGTGTACCTTCTGCCCTTGTGGTCAATGCACTTGGAGAATATTCCTGTTGGTTCTCAGCCCAGGCAAGCCAGAGTTGGGGTACACAGGTGCTTGTGAGAGAGTTGTGCCCAAAGGGGACTCACATGCCCCCTGCCCTTTTCCTCCCCATAAATCTACTGAGGTTTTAAATTGTAATATTGTTGCAGTGTAAGCATGCAGAAGCCAAACACAGAAATATTGGACACAGGTCTTCAGGAAGTAACAGGCCTTTATTCACATTACCGATCGGGTCTCAGATGAACTCCTGTTCCAACATTCTGAGAGACCAACACATAGTGTACATTCCTTATATAGCACTATAACTCCTCCCATTAATAGCTACACCCACATATACCTTTAACCAATCAATGAGCAGAATATAGACTTGTACATCTAGTCAAACCACATGGCTCATCCAAGACAAAGGAAATAAGTGCAATTTCAGTTCCTGCATTCCTGCACATGCTCAGTACACTGATGACAGTATCCTAGCTACATGTAGCTAACCAACTGACACAACATACACATATGCCACATGGAGATTTTGGCCTACTAAATTTTGACCATGCTGGAATCCCATCACATTCCCCCCTTTGATGCCTCTGATATAACATTATTCCAGATGCATCACCAATCACAGTTTTACCTACATCTCTCAAGTAGCCATTGAACCAGAGTAGACCTTGTAAGCATCTTAAAAACTCCTTCAACATTCTTCATCCTAAATATATTCTCTTCGGGCTAGGGGATCATATCTTCCAGACAGCCATTACATGGGCAGCTGTCTTTCTCTCTATAGTACTCTCTATAATGCTACGTAGGGACCTTACCACTAGTGGAATTAGACAGGGCAGGAGGAGGCACAAAAAAAAATATAATAAATTCTACTCCTCCTACTAATGTCTTAATTCCTTCAAGCTGCTCATACCAACTTCCAAACCAACTACTTAGGTTATACCCATTCCAGACCTGAGTAGGTACATGCTCAAATTTAACCATGTGGCTTGTAAGTTCAGCCACTGCCTGCCCTTCATCATCTATGTGCAGACAACAGTTACTTAGATTAAACTTTCCGCATACACCTCCTTCTACTGCTAGTAAGTAATCAAGGCTAGCCTATTCTGGTATATGGCTGATCACATCTTGGTATTTTGCTTAGCTAGAAGATTAAGCACTTGAGCTGTGTCATTAGTAATAATCTCAACTACCGCCCGTAGTCTAATAATGCGGTTGAGCATATATAATCGGAGTTCTATATCCATAAGTGCCATCTTCTGCCCAAGTAGTAGGTCCATAATAATTAATAATACGTTGAGGGGGCCACTCATTATCTTCCCAGCTACCTGTATTCAAGGATGCTCTCTCCCTTTTATGATTTACATCGTAAACCTTAACTCCCAAGGTCTCTCCTGTTTCGATTGGCAACAAGAAGAAGGATGGCTTTGGCATACCTAATACACATGCCCCTTCCCAATCTTGTGGTAA